TAGTTTTTTTGTCGTAGCACTCTCATTTCTGACACTATCATCGTAAAATTGTGTGACTTTTAATAAATACTAATTTAAAAGGATTTTTGTAAAACAAATTTCTTTTTAATGCATAGGGTTTGGTTTGGTTTGGTTTGGTACAGGGCGGAAAAAATCTAATATAGCCCATAACTTGGGACTAAAGCTACATATCTAATAACTATATATTTGAAAAGACCTTAAAAAATAGATAGAGAAACATGTGTAACACTTTGATATTTGTTTTTAACATATTTTTCCCTTTGTCTGACCCATTTTTTAGCGTTTTTTTAACCAAAAACGACACTGCTAAATACGCTAAAAGTTATAAAACTTATCGCTTATTGTAAATGCATTTATTTAAATAAACTTGATGCAGTAGCACTGTTCTGGGAAACGACAGATTGGGTGTAATGGAAGAAAAAGATAAAACTTTGTTTATCTTAATTCCATTTTCATAGAATCTGTGCAAGCAATATCTTTCACTCCAATTTGCTTGCATACAAGGTGAAAACTTGAACATTCTAAATCTTTAAAAATATTTAAAAGAATGGACTTAGCGCCTTTTAGCCGGATCACACTGACAATCAATATCAGTGACAGTTTGCCGAAGAGAAAAAGAATGTAAAATCAACGACATTTAAATCTTATTTAAACAAAAGCTATGCTTAGTTAAACATTTTCTTGTTTAAAAAACCGTCCGAGGGAATTAAACTGATAAGCAATAAGCATTTACCTTCCATTCTCCATCATCACATAGTTCAACAGGATTGATGATCACTGAGAACCTTCCTTCTCCGTTCTCTGCTACACTGTACTTGTCTCCTACTGCAATCTAACAAGAGACATATTTTTATAAATTTATTATTTTTTTTTTTTTCAATGGGTTGTAAAGTTTGTCCAGAGGAAACTAGTTTTTATTTACAAACAAATTTTTTCATATTTAACATGTTCAATCCTATAAATTAGAAAAAAATGTTGTTGAACAAATTAGGATAGAAAATTGAGATTTTGCCATAAACAATAATTTTAAATCCTTTTGATTTTTCTACCTATTAATTCTGTCTGATCAAATATTCTTCGTTTAAAACATTCAAGGGATTTATTTTCAGGTTGCAAAGATATAGAGGTTAGAAAATTTTAGTCTGTGGCAAAAACTCAATTCCTTAAAGATTGCTCTTTTTTACCTGGTTTCCATGATTGGCCCAAACCACTCTGACCGGTAGACTGAGACGGGTCACTTTATAATTAACATTTTTACATTTCGATCTCGAAACTTGAAACTTGAAACATGAAACTTGAAACTTGAAACTTGAAACTTGAAACTTGAAACTTGAAACTTGAAACCAAAATCAGACAAAGTTGTGAATCAGACGTGTCACTTTATGAGCTGGGGGTGATTTTCAATTATACAGATTCTATTTACATCGTTTCTCTTGCTGTCAAGATACGACGAGATATTGAAACATTTGAGTTTGCATCATCATATATATAGGACAAAATACACAGAACGTTTCAAAATTCATAAAACTAGGGTTTTTTTCGGTTTTAAAACACTAAGTCCAAAAAGGTTCAATGAGCTTATAATTCTAACTACGTTTCTCTTTTTTAGAATTTCAAAATTGTCAATTGTTTCGCTATTTGATCTAATTCATGAACTTCAAATAAAATTTAGATTAGATTGAATTAAGGCTAATATTCTACCTGTAACACTGAGTTCAACGATTTCTCCTATTTTAACCTTCTTATCTGTCAATCCTTCCAGTAGAGTAGGAGGACCAGTTGACCTACACAGAGAGTTTAAATAGTTGTTTGCCTAAAATATACATAAAAATTAAGCTGAACTTACCCTACTGTTCCCATACAATTAAATGCATCACAACGGTATACAGATACAGGTTTGTCGAAGCGGGCCTGTAGCGCAAATACATCTCCTAAAAATGTGAATGCATGTTATATACATAAATTTGTATTGTGTATGAATTCAAAGAGTTATAAGTTACAGATTAAATTAAATTGAGTTTAAGTTGTAACTTAAACATGGGCGGAGTTAGTTCATTATGTACATCTGAGTGGATAATGAGGGTTACCAACGAAGGATGCGACTGTAAAGACGACCTGAAACTCGCAAAATAAGACGATTTCTAGGTTGAATTAAATCTTCTGCCTTAAATATAGTTTTTTAAGTGCTTATTTAATGATTTGGCATAAAGCAAAACCAGTTTCACAGAAATAAATTCCGAACAATTGTCTCTAAAGTCTCATCCTTTGTTTTTGTAGGTAACGCTGTATGCCTTAAATCTTCACCTTGTACACCTTTTGCGAGTACATAAGAGATGTTTGTGAGTACATAAGAGATGTTTGCGAGTACATAAGAGATGTTTGTGAAACTCGTGTGATTTTGAACATACGAGAATATGATTTATTGCTTTCTGTTTTTTGAAGGACGGGAAACAGATTTTGTAAATATTTACATTTTAGGTATTATTAATACAAGCTGACCACCGTAAACTAGATGCAGAAAGTCAAACAGCTGGAGATGGGGGGGGGGGGGGGAGGAATTAATGTCTTAAGCTCAAACAAATTACAATATTTTTGTCAATTTATTGAAGGTTCAATTAAATCTACCAAATGTGCCATTATAATAGCCGGTTGAAAGCTCAAAAACTATTCAGTATTTACAAATCCTTAGAAAAAAAGAAAATATTTTAAGGCTAAATTTGTGTAGAGCAAATAAATCTCTTTTAGTCGGAGGTAAGCAGGGCTATAAGAAATTATGTAAGTATTTAAGATAAAAGGATTTACTAAATTATTACTATTAAAAGTAAACCCTAGAGACGGATAACGAAGCCCTCCTATGAAAAGTAGGACTAGAGACGGATAACGGAGCTCCACTATGAAAAGTAGAACCTAGAGACGGATAACGGAGCTCCACTATGAAAAGTAGGACCTAGAGACGGATAACGGAGCCTTCCTATGAAAAGTAGGACTAGAGACGGATAACGGAGCTCCACTAGGAAAAGTAGAACCTAGAGACGGATAACGGAGCTCCACTAGGAAAAGTAGAACCTAGAGACGGATAACGGAGCCCCACTATGAAAAGTAGAACCTAGAGACGGGTAACCTCACCTGACTTGATCTCCTCTCCGTCCCTGAACCATTTCAAGGTTGGGGACGGTATCCCGACCACCTAAACAAAATATTGGTCAACGAATATAAATATTTTTCATAATTTCCCATACTTCAATATATTTCCCCCTCAATATAGCATGGAGAAGCTGGGTCAGCTAAATTATCCAATATCAGAAATTAAATCCTTGGATTGTTAAATTTGGAGAAATCAGTCAAAATATATATTTATAGATACATGCAGATGTCCATGATACAGATACAGATACAGATACAAGGATACCTGTTATGTTAATATCCTTGAAAACGCGAATGCAAACAAATTCATGATAAAGAAACTTACAAGGATACATATCACATGGTATGTAAGTGTCCTTGTAAATACAAACAGATATCATGATACCGATACAGATAAATACATATATGTTAGTATCCTTGTAAACACGGATACAAGAAGATAATTGGATACCTTGGATACAAGATTCTTTACAAGGATGACCGAAGAACAATATCTGTGTGAACCTTTGATTTAAAGATATGGAAGTTTTAAGTCTATTGACATATATCTAGCCTTATAAACCTTGGATGATACCTACCTTGCATTCTAGTGATACAGTTCCAACTTCAGTAATACCAGCGGTCAGCTCTTCCAGGAATACAGGGGCCTTGTAGCTCTTCGGGACTAGATAACATTAATACAGGGGCCTTGTAGCTCTTAGGGACTAGATAACATTAATACAGGGGCCTTGTAGCTCTTAGAGACTAGATAACATAAATACAGGAGAATTGTAGCTCTTAGGGACTAGATAACATTAATACAGCGGCCTTAGAATTGTAGCTCTTAGGGACTAGATAACATTAATACAGCGGCCTTGTAGCTCTTAGAGACTAGATAACATAAATACAGGAGAATTGTAGCTCTTAGGGACTAGATAACATTAATATAGGGGCCTTGTAGCTCTTAGGGACTAAAGAAAGTATAAACAAACAAAAGAAAAAGGACAATAATGAGGAAAAGTGTGTAGAAGTAAAAACAGTCGGAACCACACTCCAGAATAATATGGTAAAGAATAGGGCAAATGATCAGAATTAGACCAAAAAGAACCATATTAAAAATTATAACAAGAATATTAAAGAGAGTGTTCGCGAAAAATGAAATGGGGTATAATTTTACGTCGAAAAATTATCGATGGTGATCGCTACTAATCTTACTTCTATCTGTTGCGTCAATAAGGAGAAAATGAATTAAAACGACCATACCGAAGAACGTGGCGTTTACACAAATTCAGAAAGTTGCAATATTCGACTCGGATCGCAAAAAATCAATTTAATTCCAAACAAGTCATTCAGATATTACAACCTATAATCATCGATAATTTTTCGACGCATTCATATAAAGTTGATATTTCATAATATTTTTTACTTGTTTCATATATAATATACTTTAAAGGACGTTTATTTGGCCGCTAGGTCTCTCTGTTCTCGATGATTCTAGTGTTTCACGTGAAATAGACTCCAACGACACCTAGCGACAAAAAAATCATCGTTTGAAGTACCATCGTATATGAAACAAGTAAAAAAATGAAATATTAACTATATACGAATGCGTCGAAAATTATTGATGATCATAGGTTGAAATATCTGAATGATTTGTTTGGAATTAATTTGATTCTTGTACGATCCGAGTCGAATGTTACAACTTTCTGAATTTGTTTGGACGCTACGTTCTTCGGTATGAGTCGTATTACACAATTTTCTCATTATAGGCGCATCAGATAGAAGTAAGATTAGTAGCGATCACCATCGATAATTTTTCGACGTAAACATATACCCCTTTCATTTTTCGCGAACACTCCCTTTATCTACCTTGAGCGATAACGTTACACTTTGTCTGGGCAATTCCATGTTTGTTCTTTGCAGAGCAGGTCCATATACCCTGGTCCTAAACATACATGTACATACACCCTGGTCCTAAACATACATGTACATATACCCTGGTCCTAAACATACAGGTCCATATACCCTGGTTCTAAACATAAATGTACATACACCCTGGTCCTAAACATACATGTACATACACCCTGGTCCTAAACATACATGTACATACACCCTGGTCCTTAACATACATGTACATATACCCTGGTCCTAAACATACAGGTCCATATATCCTGGTCCTAAACATACAGGTCCATATACCCTGGTCCTAAACATACAGGTCCATATACCCTGGTTCTAAACATACAGGTCTATATACCAGTAACAAGACTTCAGTATGTACTTTCAGTATGTACCAAAATAAGTACATTGCACACCTCTAAACATGTACCAAAGTATGTACATATTGTGCTACCTGTAAAGATAAAGGAATGATGGTTGCAGTACTAAGGTTTCCCTGCTCCGAGATATTAACACGACCGTCCTCTGTTGATGATGTGGCAGGTCCGCGCCATTCGAAAAATACCTTGACATTAGGATATTTATATCATACTTGGCTTTTATGGCGTTTCAAGAACATCTTAAGTTTTAACTTTTAATTGTTGATCTTTTATTCCCTTGGTTCATGTGAGTTGCCTCAAAAATGTTGGGCTAGATCGACTCATCCGTTTTGTCGTTTATTAGATACAAACAAACAGACAATCAAAGCATAAATATATTATAGGCAAACAGATAAGCTTTAAAAGTGTTTGTGGTTTCAATCGATCACATGCTTAATTGTATATTTAAGGTTTACCTTTCCTCCCTTCTGATCAGGTTCCACTGATACTGTTAGCTCCAGTCTTGTTCCAACCCTCTGCACTAGATCGGGTTCAAGGAAATCGGAGAAGGTCGGAGGAGACATAGCTCCGGGTCTAAACAAGAATGGGTTGGATAATCTTAAGGTCTACACAAGATTTGTTTGATATTATATTCAGGTCTAAACAAGAATAGATTGAATGTAGCTCCGGTTCTCAACTAGACTAAGTTGGATGATATATTGCTCTGGTTATAAACTTAAAAATGTTGGATAATATATAGCTCCGGTTCTAAACTTTAAAAAAGTTGGATTATATATTATCCGGTTAAAAACTAGTATAGGTTGGATGAGATATTGCTCCGGTTCTAAACTAGAATAGGTTGGAGAATATATATCTGGTTCTAAACTAGAATAGGTTGGAGGAGATATAACTCCGGTTCTAAACTAGAATAGGTTGGAGGAGATATAACTCTGGTTCTAAACTAGAATAGGTTGGATGAGATATAGCTCCGATTCTAAACTAAAACATGTTAAATAATATATATAACTATGGTTCTAAACTAGAATAGGTTGGATGAGATATAGCTCCGGTTCTAAACTAAAACATGTTGGATAATATATATAACTCAGATTCTAAACTAGAATAGGTTGGATGAGATATAGCTCCGGTTCTAAACTAAAATAGGTTGGAGGAGAAAAAAATTAAAATCAAAAAAATATCTGCAATCATGACACAATATTAAGACGAATTAGAGCATTTTATTATAGAAATTAAAGGGAGTGACCGGCAATGTATGGTGGTTGAACTGCATATGTAGTATTGTGAACAAATTATTTAGGATTCATTTGAGACATATAAAACTTTTCTACGACGTATGTTTACTGAGTTTGAGCGCGAAGTCGGCGTTCAAAATCATAAAATTGGGTGGGTACTTTTTCAAAACCGGTTTTTTATTATTAGATAACGACGACAAAAAATGTAAACAAAATTCTACATTTAACTAATAAATTGTTTAGGATCAGGTTGAGAAAAAAAATTGACTCTTATCATCGAAAATAAGTAATCTTATTCAATTATTAGTTTCTATAATCTCTCACTATTTGTATAAAGATTTTCTGGAATTTTTATTGAAAAGACGACATTTGAAGAATTTGTAGAAATCTGAGAACAAATAAATAGAAAATAAGAAATTCAATATAATGATAGAAAAGGAAATGATTAATTCTAATACTGATTTATTGACAAATTTCTTTTGAGAAATATGTTCCTAAACATCTAATTAGTTTACTATAGAACTTTTACTATGTTTTTCGTCGTCATTATTTAATAATTTTTTTTTAAACCGATTCTGAAAACGTACCCACCCAAATTCAAATTCTTGAATTCTTGCTCTATAAGTATTCCATTGACTTAATTTAGCTTAGACATTAACCGTACTGTAAACTGAACAGGGGGAATTTCTTGAAATGAGAATGTGTTGACTAAGGGTGAGAAGAAGGGGGGGGTCAACTATTCTCTCTCGTTGTATGTATTGCAAAGTGCAGTCTCAGTCTACATCTTTAAATGTAATTAAGCAAATTAACGTTTGCTTACAAACAAACATAATTGTAATTTTAGCAATTCATTTGACACAGTGTAGAGAGGAGGGAAGGAAGGATCAGGGCAGGGTCTGATTAATTTGACACTGTGTAGAGAGGAGGGAGGGAAGGATCAGGGCAGGGTCTGATTAATTTGACACAGTGTAGAGAGGAGGGAAGGAAGGATCAGGGTAGGGTCTGATTAATTTGACACAGAGTAGAGAGGAGGGAAGGAAGGATCAGGGCAGGGTCTGATTAATTTGACACAGTGTAGAGAGGAAGGAAGGAAGGAAGGAAGGAAGGGTAGGTTCTGATTAATTTGCCACAGTGTAGAGAGGAAGGAAGGAAGGGCAGGGCCTGATTATTTTGACACAGTGTAGAGAGGAGGGAAGGCTGATTAATTTGACACAGTGTAGAGAGGAAGGTAGGAAGGAAGGGAAGGGTCTGATTAATTTGACACAGTGTAGAGAGGAAGGAAGGAAGGGTAGGGTCTGATTAATTTGACACAGTGTAGAGAGGAGGGAAGGAAGGGCAGGGTCTGATTAATTTGACACAGTGTAGAGAGGAAGGAAGGAAGGAAGGGTAGGTTCTGATTAATTTGACACAGTGTAGAGAGGAAAGAAGGAAAGAAGGAAGGGCATGGTTCTGATTAATTTGACACAGTGTAGAGAGGAAGGAAGAAAGGAAGGGCAGAGTCTGAATAATTTGACACAATGTAGAGAGTAAGGAAGGAAGGAAGGGTAGGGTCTGATTAATTTGACACAGTGTAGAGAGGAAGAAAGGAAGGAAGGGTAGGTTCTGATTAATTTGACACAGTGTAGAGAGGAAAGAAGGAAGGAAGGAAGGGCACGGTTCTGATTAATTTGACACAGTGTAGAGAGGAAGGAAGAAAGGAAGGGCAGAGTCTGAATAATTTGACACAGTGTAGAGAGGAAGGAAGGAAGGGCAGAGTCTGAATAATTTGACACAGTGTAGAGAGGAAGAAAGGAAGGGCAGGGTCTGAATAATTTGACACAGTGTAGAGATGAAGGAAGGAATTAACAGCAGGGTCTGATTAATTTGACACAGTGTAAAGAGGAGGGAAGGCTGATTAATTTGACACAGTGTAGAGAGGAAGGTAGGAAGGAAGGGAAGGGTCTGAATAATTTGACACAGTGTAGAGAGGAAGGAAGAAAGGACAGGGTCTGATTAATTTGACACATTGTAGAGAGGAAGGAAGGAAGGGCAGGGTCTGATTAATTTGACACAGTGTAGAGAGGAAGGTAGGAAGGAAGGGAAGGGTCTGAATAATTTGACACAGTGTAGAGAGGAGGGAAGGCTGATTAATTTGACACAGTGCAGAGAGGAAGGAAGGAAGGGCAGGGTCTGATTAATTTGACACAGTGTAGAGAGGAAGGAAGAAAGGACAGGGTCTGATTAATTTGACACAGTGTAGAGAGGAGGGAAGGCTGATTAATTTGACACAGTGTAGAGAGGAAGGAAGGAAGGGTAGGTTCTGATTAATTTGACACAGTGTAGAGAGGAGGGAAGGAAGGGCAGGGTCTGATAAATTTGACACAGTGTAGAGAGGAAGGAAGGAAGGAAGGAAGGGCATGGTTCTGATTAATTTGACACCGTGTAGAGAGGAAGGAAGGAAGGAAGGAAGGAAGGAAGGAAGGGCATGGTTCTGATTAATTTGACACAGTGTAGAGAGGAAGGAAGGAAGGAAGGAAGGAAGGAAGGAAGGAAGGAAGGGTAGGTTCTGATTGATTTGACACAGTGTAGAGAGTAAGGAAGGAAGGGCAGGGCCTGATTAATTTGACACAGTGTAGAGAGTAAGGAAGGAAGGGCAGGGCCTGATTAATTTGACACAGTGTAGAGATGAAGGAAGGAATTAACAGCAGGGTCTGATTAATTTGACACAGTGTAGAGAGGAAGGTAGGAAGGAAGGGAAGGGTCTGATTAATTTGCCACAGTGTAGAGAGGAAGGAAGGAAGGGCAGGGCCTGATTAATTTGACACAGTGTAGAGGTGAAGGAAGGAATTAACAGCAGGGTCTGATTAATTTGACACAGTGTAGAGAGGAGTAAGGAAGGAAGGGCAGGGTCTGATTAATTTGACACAGTGTAGCGAGGAAGGAAGGAAGGAAGGGTCTGATTAATTTGACACAGTGTAGAGAGTAAGGAATGAATGGCAGGGTCTGATTAATTTGACACAGTGTAGAGAGGAAGGAAGGAAGGGCAGGGTCTGACATTCCCTAAACTATGAATAACCTTGACAGCATTTTTTCCTTCAAATATTTGAAAAAGTAAACTTTCTTTAGTTCAGTATATTTGAATATAATTTTCAGAAACAACTCGGATGTTTTAATTTCAATTAAATCTTTATCTTGGAGTGAATTTTTGTCTTTTTATACAGTAGCAGGTGACATCAATTCAATGAAGACGACGTTTTTATTGTTTACAAGCTTTTGTCGAACAACAAGTTTATAAGTAATCAAAGAGAAGCTTTTTTAATAGACAGCTTCTATCTATTTACATGTGTAATTCATTGTTAAGAGCTTGATAATATTTATATTTGAAATTTAAAGTCGTCTTTATTGTATTGATATAATCGCCAACCATTGTAGTTTCTAAAATAGAGAGGGGATTGGGGAAGTTATAGGGAAGAGTTTTGCAAGAGAGGTAAGAGGGGAAGTGGGTAAAGGCTTAGAGAAAGAAGTTACATAAATGAAGATAAGGAAAGAAGTGGTGGAAAAAGGGGAAAGGGAAAGGAAAATGAAGCGGAACGGAGGAAGAAAAGATTATTAGAAGGAGAGTGTGGGGGAAAAGTAGAACTGCGGGGAAAAGTTAGGGAAATGGATTTGAAAGGAAAGGAGTTGGAAGAAATACGCGAAAGGAAAGGAAAATTTGTGGGGTAGAGAGAGACGCGGGAAGTAGGGGAACTTCACAGAGGAAAGTGTGGTACTAATAGATGGGAAATGGTGAGAACTATGTTGGGGAAAGTGTGGTACTAATAGATGGGAAAAAGGGAGAACTATGTAGGGGAAAGTGTGGTACTAATAGATGGGAAAAGGGGAGAACTATGTAGGGGAAAGTGTGGTACTAATAGATGGGAAAAGGGGAGAACTAAGTATGGGAAAGTGTGGTACTAATAGATGGGATTTGGTGAGAACTAAGTAGGGGAAAGTGTGGTACTAATAGATGGGATTTGGTGAGAACTAAGTAGGGGAAAGTGTGGTACTAATAGATGGGAAAAGGGGAGAACTATGTAGGGGAAAGTGTGGTATTAATAGATGGGAAAAGGGGAGAACTAAGTAGGGGAAAGTGTGGTACTAATAGATGGGAAATGGTGAGAACTAAGTAGGGGAAAGTGTGGTACTAATAGATGGGAAAAGGTGAGAACTAAGTAGGGGAAAGAATGAAAATGACGAAGAACTGGGGTCGGATTTAGAGAGGTGTTGAGAGTAAATCATCTGGAATCTTTCATTTCCTTCAGCCGGACATTTAAGATTTAGAAGAATTTACTTTTATATAAAAATAAACATGTTTAGCAAAAACAAACTCGACTCAGGCTCAACTTTAGAACTCCTCTAGTCTTTGACAGAAAATCTTAAAACTGTTTACATTCATCGTCCCTGTGACGTCATTTTTTTAATTACAGACATAAGTCGGGGAAATCTGAGTCGGTCCGTTTTATTTTTTTAAGTATTAAATCAAAAAGGTCGTTTGGTTGTTTTTTCTTTCTTATTTCTTTTAAGAAAAAAATTGTTTGCTAATAACAATCTATATAACTACGATAATAAGATTAACCTGCCAAACTTTTTTATCCACCATATAGATTAAAATAAATTTTATTTATGTTTAAGTCACATTGTAAATAAGGTTCAATCATGCTTTGTAAACATCATAGTAATTGGTAATTTGTTGTGTTAAGTGTGATAGGTTGAACGTTTGTCATAAATTACGTTACCTAAAGCAGTAACTGTGTTCACTGTTATTAGATGACAAGCAAGAATACATCTATTGTTTGTAAACATAGACTTGTGTTCTAACAACACATACTTCTATCTTGTACATAAGCACATCTTAACTTGTACTTATGTACTGCACTGTAACACAGGGTACAATATCTGTAAGAATTAGTTTTTTTAGATATGTGAATATTAGAACAATTCCTTCATTTTTCTTGAGCTAATAAATGCAATGAAATTGATTTTTTGACAGAAACTTAAATTTTCTACTACCTATATATCTTTGCTATTCGATGGTGTAAACAAATGATATCTTAAACTTAAATTATTTGATCTAACAAAGTTTGAAAGTTTAGATTTAATTTATAAGACATTGGGTTGCAAAGATATAGGGATTAGAAATTTAGAGTTTGTGGCCAAGGCTCAATTCCTTTAGAGAATTGAATAAAAGATCTATAGAAAACTCTGCAGAGCTAAAGAAAACTCTGAAGAGCATAAGAAAACTCTGCATAGATCTAGAGAATACTATTTAGAACTAAAGAAAACTCTGTAAAACTTAAAAAAAACTCGTAGAACTAACGTAAAACTCTGTAGACCTAAAGAAACCTCTGTAGAACTAGAGTAAAACTCTGTAGACTAAAGGAAACTCTGTAGAACTAAAGGAAATTTTGTAGAACTGAAGGAAACTCTGTAGAACTAAAGGAAACTCTGTAGAACTAAAGGACACACTGTAGACTAATGGAAATTCTGTAGAACTAAAGGAAACTGCGCAGAACTAAAGGAAACTCTATAGACTAACGGAAACTCTGTAGAACTAAAGGAAACTCTTTAGACTAATGGAAATTCTGTAGAACTAACGGAAACTGTACAGAACTAAAGGAAACTCTGTAGAACTAAAGGAAACTCTGTAGACTGAAGGAAACTCTGTAGAACTAACGGACACTCTGTAGACTAATGGAAATTCTGTAGAACTAAAGGAAACTCTGCAGAACTAAATGAGGGATTTCTGTTTCACTAAAAGTAACTGTATGGCATGATTTGAATTCCGGCCTTTAAAGAAAGGGCGAAAGCAGGATTTATAGGATACACTATACGAAATGTACATAACCTATTTAAGCATGATTAAAAAGTATATGTCTTAAATATACTTCTGGTTATTTTTATTCACAAACTTACTTTACAGTGTACACCTCCTAATCACTATATATCTCCCTCAGCCTAGCTTGCCACCCAGCTACTACCTGCCTCCCACCTTTCTAACAGCTGTTCCTCTCCCCACTACAGCTTTTCTCCTGTTCTGCCCGGCGTGACAGCTGGTCACGGGATATATAGTAGACGCAGCTTGTAAATATTTGCAGAGCTGTTTAACAAGTTAGTAAGTCCGATAAATACATGAAGGGACATGAAAACATTATTTATTCTATTTATAAAGTACTAGAAATTCAGACGGCTTCACGCCACTCTTACTAATACCATTTAAAATGATAAATTCGTTTTTATTTTTTTAAGTGAAATCACAAACAACTACAAGCATAAATATCATGTATGTGACACGGAACACATGGTGCTCGCCGCCCTTTATTCCAATGCTGATCTGGTAATTTTTTATCCTTTGCAGGCACTCCCCCCCCCCCGTACATATATGTATATATTTTATCCACTTATATAAAAGCTTTCGCAGATTTCAAGGTTTTCGATTGGGCAATTTAGAAATTTAGAAAGAAAAATAATATTCTCCGTTATTCCATAGAAAATAGTTTTTGGCGTAACTAGTAAAACTATCTTTCACGACTAAATATTAATATTTGAGATTCAAGATCGATTTGTAGATACGATTCAGACAGATCATTTTTTAGATAATTTTCTTCAACATATTTGAAAGATCCAATTTATGGATTAAAGACGAATGAGATATCCTTCTTTTCTCTCGGAGAAATGATTATTTTTATTCTGGCTTCTACAAGAACATTATTTACGGATTTATGCTAAAAGGACATTGACCGAATTTGTCTGAATTCAACACGTTTCAGAAGAAATCGACGATACCTTCCTAAAGAGTGAATCGGACAAGCCAAACTTAAAATCGTATATTAGGAAATTACCTCATTTTGTATACAATGCACTTAAAACGCCGATCAACGATTAGTGATCAACAGCGATTATTTGTTGCCGTAAGCCTATACCCCCTTTAATTTTCCGCGAACACTCCCTTTAAAGCTCCATGCACAAGAGTTCCATTCCCGATTTACCAGGTAAGAGCAAAAATGACAAGAAGTTCTTGAAAATTGAAAACACGAAAATCTGACATTGCGTATTTTTTACGACAAATTGAATTGAGATTTCAAGCTTAGAAACAAACTTCATCATTTAAAAAAAATAAAATTTACTTAATCAAAAGAAATACCAAATCTTTTTGTTCCTTTAATTTAAAGATTAGTTGTTCAGCAATATATATATAATTAAATGGTTCAGATTATCGGTGTATATTGCGCAGAATAATATAGTTTGTATAGAATGCTAATGCAAGCTCAGCTCCCCTCTAAGCTCTCCTGAAGAAACATATCTGATTAATAGAAGAAGGACTAGGGGCGCAAAACAATCGTTATTCCTTTTCAAAACCGGTATTTTTTTGTTGGTAAAGGTTTCATTTTAGACCAAAACCAATATCTCCCCTCTATTTATTGTAACATTGTAAAGCTTTCATCCTTGCCACTTCAAAAAATTCCAAGTATTCCCCATTTGTAAAAAGTAAAGTGCATTTTTTATGTTTTCAATTTTTTTTGATTTATGGTGATTGAAAATATTGAAAATGTCCAAATCAATAAATTTCAATGATTTTTTCGTTGCAACAAGAATGTAATAAATATAGTTAAAGGGACTGTACATATATTTTCAAGCGACTCTATTGAGTCACTTGAGTCCTCTTCTTTTTACAAATGATGATTAATAATTGTGATTTCTCTATAAAGCTAATTGCGCATTTCTGCTTCAGAAATGGAGGAAATAGCTAAGTTTCAAACTTTAAAAACAGAATATCTTTTACATCATTGATAAGAAAAAGTATTTAAGGGTACTGATGTTAATCGGTCTTGCCCCTCTTTATAAGGAAGATCATTTAACATGACAACTAAACATAAACTGTTTTACATAATTTTATTTTTAACTCATCTTTAGTAGAACAAAATTTGCTTAATGTACGGAACAATAATTAAAACAGAGGAGTAGGTCGGATTTATATATTAGATCGGAAGAGGAGTAGGTCGGGTTTATGTATTGGATCAGGAGAGCAGTAGGTCGGGTTTATGTATTGGATCAGGAGAGAAGTAGGTCGGGTTTATGTATTGGATCAGGACAGGAGTAGGTCGGGTTTATATATTGGATCAGGAGAGGAGTAGGTCGGGCTTATATATTGGATCAGTAAAGATGCAGGTCGGGTTTAGGTATTGGATCAGTAGAGAAGTACGTCGGGTTTATATATTGGATCAGGAGAGAAGTAGGTCGGTTTTATATATTGGATCCGGAGAGAAGTAGGTCGGGTTTATATATTGGACCAGGAGAGGGTTTTTATATCGTATCAGGAGAGAAGTAGGTCGGGTTTATATATTAGATCAGGAGAGAAGTAGGTCGGTTTTATATATTGGATCCGGAGAGAAGTAGGTCGGGTTTATATATTGGACCAGGAGAGGAGTAGGTCGGGTTTTTATATCGTATCAGGAGAGAAGTAGGTCGGGTTTATATATTAGATCGGGAGAGAAGTAGGTCGGGTTTATATATTGGATCGGGAGAGGAGTAGGTCGGGTTTATATATTGGATCGGGAAAGTAGAAGATCTAGTTTTGCTTCTATTCTCGTCATTTTCTTCTCTAGATCTGATTCCTTTGCTTCATTCATTTTACTGATTACAATCCGTCTTCAAACAGAAAATTTTGAAAATATTTTCTAAATTATAATAATTTAAGAAAAACAAGATATGTTTACCAAATGTTTGTCAAAAAGGGATTTATACAGTTTGCATGAACCCTTTAATCTAAATTCAGTCAGAGGAATTTGGAATATTCAGTCAGGAATTTGGAATATTCAGTCGGAGGAATTTGGAATATTCAGTCAGAAGAATTTGGAATATTCAGTCAGAGGAATTTGGAATATTCAGTCGGAGGAATTTGGAATATTCAGTCAGAGGAATTTGGAATATTCAGTCAGAGGAATTTGGAATATTCAGTCGGAGGAATTTGGAATATTCAGTCGTGGGAATTTAGAATATTCATTCGGGGGAATTTGGAATATTCAGTCGGGGGAATTTGGAATTTTCAGTCGGGGGAATTCGAAATATTCAGTCGGAGGAATTTGGAATATTCAGTCGGGGAAATTTGGAATATTCAGTCGAAGGAATTCGAAATATTCAGTCGGAGGAATTTGGAATATTCAGTCGGGGGAATTTGGAATACTCAGTCGGAGGAATTTGGAATATTCAGTCTGAGGAATTTAGTATATTCAGTCGTGGGAATTTGGAATATTCAGTCAGAGGAATTTGGAATATTCAGTCGGGGGAATTTGGAATATTCAGTCGGAGGAATTTGGAATATTCAGTCGGGGGAATTTGAAATATTCAGTCGGAGTAATTTGGAATACTCATTGGGGGAATTTGGAATATTTGTTGTTTAAAAAGAACTCTCCAAAGCACATTCTTTATACAGGGTTATCCACATCAAAGAATGAGACTACAGAGACGTACAGAATTTACTTTTGCAACTTTAAACGTGTTTTCATTTTTTATTCCGAATCATTACATTAGCTATTAAACGACTAATCAAAGCAGAAGATTTAACCTTGAGATCGACATATTTTTGAGGTCGTCTTCCCAGTCTACCTTTAGAGGTAACCCTGTAGTTATCAATTTGAATGAAAAAAAACATATTTCTAGCGTGGAAAATATTTTATAATGAAATGAAATTTTTATTTTCGAAGTTTATCTGCCTAGCGCTGTCGATTATATCCCTGGGTATAGTTTCTCTCTCTGAGCAAGTATTTCCTCTCCTTTTGATAAAAAAGTATAAATTTTTGTCCATGATATGGATTTTTAAAATTTTCGTCTTGTGTTTTGTTTTGAAAATATGGGTTTCTAACATTTTTAAAGTAAAATGTTAAAATTTCTCTCGCAATATAATTGTCTAGCATAAAATTGATCCTAATTCATAATTTTTATAAAATACTGCCCTGCACAGCACAAGATTAAAAATCAAAATTTCTAATCCTTTTATCTACATCAAAGGTCTACGATATTCAACTAAAAAGAATAAAATTAGAGTTTGAGGCAAATTTTCAACTCCTTGACAATTAAAACATTACGGTATCTATTCCTGAGGTGGAGTGCTTTCATGTAAAACAATTTTTAACATAAAATGAAAATTCCATTTTAAATTAAAATTCCGGTTCAATGTCTTTTCCCTGGGCAAAATATTCAAATACTGGACAATATTTTGCCAGAGATTTGCAAACAGTTAGATGGGGAAGTATAAAAGTTAGAAGGGATTTAAGCAATAAAGTTAGAAGGGATTTGAGCAATAAAGTTAGAAGGAATTTAAGCATAAAAGTTAGAAGGGATTTGAGCAAAAAAGTTAGAAGGGATTTAAGCTATAAAGTTAGAAGGGATTAAAGCAATAAAGTTAGAAGGAATTTGAGTAATAAAGTTGGAAGGGATTTAAGCAATAAAGTTAGAAGGGATTTGAGCATTAAAGTTAGTAGGGATTTGAGCAATGAAGTTATGAGAAAGAAAGGAATTGAGTCTTAGCCCCAAACTCAAATTTGTCAATCCCTATATCTTTGCAACCTGGTCATGTAACCCTTGGATATTTCTGACATAGATTTTTTTAATCTAACAGAAATTATAGATGATCCAAAACATTGAATTGCAAAGATATTGGGATTAGAAACTTTGTGGCAAAGACTCAATTCCTTTGTTCAGATTTCTAATTGTCAAAATCTGAACATAATTATTCATATCTCCGGAAATAAAAAGGCCGACCACATTTTGGAAATGCCAATACTTTGAAGTTATAAACTCTAGAATTTTACTTCTAAATTTTTGTTAACAAATAAATGTTGTGAATTATTTTTGAATATCAAAGACGACCTTAATGAGCCGTCTTACTTGTCATGTTTCATCGTATACCAAAGATAATATATATATATAGATATGCAGGCAGGAAGAAACCTCCTCCCTAAATTGCTTGTAGCAGACAAATAATTTTTGAACCTCTGAGATACCTTTGAATAAACCTCCGTATTGTTCTATGCCTATAGAACTGTCTACAGAAACTAAGACTAGGTATCCTTAACCTCAATCTGAAAAGTATAAAATGAACAAAAACAAAATTACACTCTGAAATATGAAAAAATAAGAATGCAGATCGACATTTCGAAAGGTTTGTTTTTCGAATAGATTTGAATATAAGGGAATAAAAGTATGATAAAATGACAGATAAAAACTTGACTGAGTGTATTTGATCCAGCCCTGACATGCTTGTCTATCTTTAGTTTTGCGTGGTACGGAGGTTCATAAATTTTTTATTTTTTAGTGGATTTGAGAACCACTCGACCCTAGAACTAGAAATATCCATTAAGTGTATTAGAGTTTAGAAACTCTGGAATATAGATACACCGATATATATTTGATATTCATGAAATAAGATAAAATAAAAGAATCTATAGATATACAGAATTTCCCACTAAGAATGAGTCTTCAGAGATGACCGTACGAAATTTATACTGTCTGTTTTCTCATGATTCCCCGCAACTGTTTAAGACGACATTCAATAAATTTGCATGACATTTTTTTCAAAAACGATATTTTTGCCAAATAAAGTAATCATCCATTTCATGACTTTATATGAGCCACAAGACTTAATTTAACCCTGGGATCGTCATATCTTTAAAGTTTCGAGTCGTCTTTACAGTCTCATCCTTTGTGGATAACCCTGTACTACCTAGGCCAGGATGAGAAGAAATCAAATGGATCTCCGAGCAGTAAGGATTCAGCATAGCTAATAGTATCCACTCTAGATAGGTAGCTAACTATCTCAGAGTGTTCCTGGATAGCTCCTGAACATAAACATTGTTTACTGATAGTGTACTGCTAGTGTTCTGATAGTGAACAGCATGTTTAACTGTAAATAATACTGCTAGTGTACTGCTAGATTACTGCTATTGTACTGCTAGCGTACTGAAAGTGTACTGTTAGTAGATGTTAGTGTGTTGCTAGTGCACTGCTAGTGTACTGATAGTGTACTGCTAGTGTGCTGTTAGTGTACTGCTAGAGTACTGCTACTGTACTGCTAGTGTACTGCTAATGTACTGCTAGTGTAATGCTAGTGTAATGCTAGTGGACTGCTAGTATACTGCATGTTTACCTGTATCTGATACAGCTAGACCGTTGAGAAGATTCATAAGAACAACAACAATAAGGAATACAAAGGATAGAAAGAAAAGGTAACTAAACAAACGAAATTCAAAACAAAAAATTTGGATAATTTTAGAATTAAATTTAATATTAAAAGGTTACAATACCAATCCAGGAATGCTCGCGAAAATTAATAATGAACCCCAAAATTAATACAGGAGGAGAGTTTATTTAAATCAACATAATCAACAATTTCTTTCTTTTTTTGCATAAATTGCTTTTTCCCATCTTTTCAATGATTTAGAAACTATTTAATCTGATTTGTTTTCCTGAGAGGAACCATCTTAGAGTCAAGATTCACGGGAATATCTGGAGAAAAAGCAAATTTTACACTTACAATAAAAATATCAATTTTTCAATTGATGAAATTGATGAAATTGGTAAATTTGTTGATGGAATTGATGAAATTGATGAAATTGATGAAATTGGTGAAATTGATGAAATTGATGAAATTGATGAAATTGACGAAATAGGACGAAAATGACGAAATTGATGAAAATGACGAAATTGATGAAATTGATGAAATTGATGAAATTGATGAAATTGATGAAATTGATGAAATTGATGAAATTGATGAAATTGATGAAATTGATGAAATTGATGAAATTGATGAAATTGATGAAATTGATGAAATTGATGAAATTGATGAAATTGATGAAATTGATGAAATTAATGAAATTGAAGTAAAAAATGAAAACAATTCAATTTTGATATAGTCTAGATTGAAATGTGTTTACTTTGAAATGAATAACTTTGAAATAAATATGTATTGAATTAAATTGATTGAATTGATTTAACTAAATGGTTTGCTCTCCTGAGAATTCAAGTTCTCCAATAAACATTGTCGAGGTTTTCACCAGAGAGAGCCAGGGAGAGTCGAAGAATACATATTCAGACTCTAAACAGGGTACAGGGTACAGGGTATAGAGTACATAATACAGGGTACAGGGTACAAGGTACAAGGTACAAGGTACAAGGTACAGGGTACAGGGTACAGGGTATAGAGTACAGGGTTCAGGGTACAAGGTACAAGGTACAAGGTACAGGGTACAGGGTACAGGGTACAGGGTACAGGGTATAGAGTACATAGTACAGGGTACAGGGTACAGGGTACAGGGTACAGGGTACAGGGTACAGGGTGCAGGGTACAGGGTAGAGGGTAAAGGGTACAAAGTACAGGGTACAGGGTAAAGGGTACAGGGTACAGGGTACAGGGTACAGGGTAAAGGGTACAGGGTAAAGGGTACAGGGTACAGGGTATCGAATATCTACCTGGACTGGTCTCGAAGTCCCTGTGCAGCATGATGTAGAAGCTAAGGGCGAAGGCTAGGATGAAGAATATATACCAGAGTAGGAAGAAGAAGAATGTCGACAGCACCTGAAGTTTTAAATCAATGTAAGTTAGGAAACTTTGTCATTTTCTGGAGTTTACGTTGGTTAGAAAAAAAATTTCTCATTTTTAAATCTCCAAATCTTTAGAACATGATGAAGTACAATTTTTATATTTCAAACTGTGACTATTTGATCTTAAATGGTCTCCGACATCAAAATGCATAGTGGTAGATTTTGTAAGGATTAGATCATTGCTTGATCTCGATCTTGTGTTAATCTGCAGATTAATTTAATCTTTCTTCGATATCCTGCATGGTTTTTGGTTATCGTTTTCAGTCTGGGGTTTCAGAGAGCTTTGATCAGGGGTTTATGGAGCTTGGATCAAGGGAGGAATAACTGGAAAGAAGAGAATGAGCATTGCTCTTCAAATTAAAATGCCCACAGTGGATATCGAGATCAAACGATCGGGATCATGAGTAACAAACACAATAAATCCCAGCTCATTTTATATAATGACAAAAAAATATTAATTATAAATCTAGTTTTTGAATTATTTTTTTTTAAATCTTTTAGATCTTTAAAATTCTTCATATCCAATCCTGAGAGAGGCTTTCAACAAATTCTTGAATAATATATAAATGCAAATATTACCTAATATTACCTAAGTATGAATTTTAATATGAGATGGTATTTGAAATTTGAAATTTATTTAAATATAAATTTCATTCTTTCATATATGAGATCCTCAATGTATCCTATATATGCATACAATATATATAAAAGTTTGAATTTTATAAAAAGATATATATTTATATAAAAAGATAATAAAGTTAGTTTATATATATATAGTTTTACCTTATAAAACATGGTCACGTACACGTTATAAATGTTTAATCTAAAAATCATTATTTTTTTCTATACTTTTGACTTTTCTTACAATAATATTTATTATTGAGATCTTTCTTATTTATAATGGTGTATTAATATTGTTCCGACAAAAACATTTTTTTAACTATTGTGCGCTTTTTCATTTATTATAAGATCGTGTATATTCTAGGTAAAATGATTCTCAGATTTTCTAAAAATATTTAAGATATTTCTGAAATAATGTTTTTAGTTTCAAAAAAAAATAATTTCAAATAAATTTTTTTTTGTCGAAAATCTTGTTTATCAGAAATAACTAAATACAAACGCATTTTATAAAATTATCTTTATACACAAATTACGTTATGGCATGACGTGTTAAACGTTTTAGACTAAAACTTTCTTTTTATTAAGAAAACTTAAGATAATTTAGATAAAAAGAAACTTTGTGAAAATGTTGTAAGAAATATTTTTGTATTTTCATGGAGATAAAGAAATAGAAAGAAATAATGATTTCCTTGGATGCTTTGCAATGAATGTAATCAACTCAGACCAGGAGAACAGCAAACTTAACAATTTTATTTTTATTTTATAAAGAAAATATTTTTAAAGTTAAATTAAACGAGGTTTGAAAGTTTGCGATGCAAGAAGTTTAATACGGAACTTAGTTTTAGAACTTTGTTGGAAGAAGAACAATAAGGAAATGGATGAAAAAGTTTTTATTTGAAAGCTTTGCTCAAATATTGGTTTTAGTTTTTGCTGTCTGAATACAGGAGAATATTTATTAAAGAAAAGTTTTCGCCCTACAACGGGAAATATTAGGTGTGATAAATTCTTTTAAAATTGAATAAATAAATAAAAGGAAAGGTTGGTATAATTTTTAGTAAAATAAAAACTAAAAATTCTCCAAGATCGAATAAATCAAGAGTTTGCGGGAAGTGTTTGATTCATTTTGGAGACTGAAACGAGTAATTCAATTTTAAACAGTTTTTTGACATAAATTTTCAAAAACGGGTTTAGTAAACTTTAATTGATTATGTTATTATTTTATTGAATGAAAGTCACTAAAACATTCCATTAAGTTAAGATAAATTTAATTTTATGGTGCTTGCTTAATAAAATCATTAAACTAGTTGATTCATAAATATTGTTCCTGAGTGCCGCAAGATGTCTCTTCAAGTCTCGTTCTTGTTCAAACTGGTTCTCACTGTACTGTACAGCACTGGTTCCATTGTTTGTTTCTCCTGTATCTAGCTGTACAACGTCAGGTCGGAGCAGTACGATAGAAATACAGATTATCATTCCAACTTCAATCCAGTTCTCAAGATCAAGAATATACCGTCTAATAAACATAAACATTTTTGCAAAATAGATGTTACAGTTACATTTACTTTATATACCTTAAATATACAGCTATTTTACATACCTGATATATACAGCTACTTTATATACATGATATATAACAACTACTATATATACCTAATAGATACAGCTAATTTATATACATAATAGATACAGCTACTTTACATACATGATGTATACAGCTACTTTATATACCTTATATATATATATACAGCTACTTTATATACGTGATATATACAGCTACTTTACATACCTGATATATACAGCTACTTTATATACATGATATATACACCTACTTCATATACCTGATAGATACAGCTACTTTATATACCTGATAAATACAGCTACTTTATATACCTGATAGATACAGCTACTTTATATACCTTATATATACAGCTACTTTATATACATAATAGATACAGCTACTTTATACCATACAGCTAGTTTATATACCTGATATATACAAATACTTTATATACCTGATAGATACAGCTACTTTATATACCTGATAGATACAGTGATAGATACAGCTACTTTATATACCTGATAGATACAGCTACTTTATATACCTGATATATACAGCTACTTTATATACCTGATATATACAGCTACTTTATACCATACAGCTAGTTTATATACCTGATATATACAAATACTTTATATACCTGATAGATACAGCTACTTTATATACCTGATAGATACAGCTACTTTATATATCTGATAGATACAGCTACTTTATATACCTTATATATACAGCTACTTTATATACCTTATAAATACAGCTACTTTATATACCTGATAGATACAGCTACTTTATATACCTGATATATACAGCTACTTTATATACCTGATATATACAGCTACTTTATATACCTGATATATACAGATACTTTATATACCTGATAGATACAGCTACTTTATATACATAATAGATACAGCTACCTTATATACCTGATAGATACAGTTAATTTATATACCTGATAGATACAGCTACTTTATATACCTGATATATACAGATACTTTATATACCTGATATATACAGATACTTTATATACCTGATATATACAGATACTTTATATACATAATCTGATAGATACAGCTACTTTATATACCTGATAGATACAGCTAGTTTATATACATAATAGATACAGCTACTTTATATACATAATAGATACAGCTACTTTACATACCTGTTAGATACAGCTACTTTATATACATAATAGATACAGCTACTTTATATACCTGATAGATAGCGCTACTTTATATACCTGATAGATACAGCTACTTTATATACCTGATAGATACAGCTACTTTATATACCTGATATATACAGCTACTTTATGTACCTGATATATACAGCTACTTTATATACCTGATAGATACTGCTACTTGGAATACTTCTCTAAGTGCTAGCCCACACAAAAGAACTAGAAGAACTATATAGAGACAGGTTGGTCCCAACCATAGGATGACCGCCAGACCAGCCAGATAAACAACCTCTAACCAGTTACTAAATAAATACAACAATACATACGTGAAATTCAGTACGTTCACACACCCCCCCCCCTCCCTTTTATGACTTTGAAATCTTTTCTCCTCCTATATCAATGAATTTAGTCCCTAAACTGACAAAGAAAACCAATTTATATTAAAGAAACCTGAATATAAGACTCCAGTAGGATTTAGAGCCTGAAATTCGAACCGAACCTTCCAGTATACTCTCTTGATAAACTAAAAAGAATAGAAATAGAATAAAATAATATTAAAATTTGAACTTGGACCAATACGTAGTTAAACTATGTTGAACCACTGCTCTTGAACTTGAACCGGCGCCCATGCCATAAATGAATAGAGTCTTTGCCACAAACTCAAAATTTCTAATTAGTTATCTTTACAACCTATAGCATGAAAACCTTTGATATTTCAATTCAAGGTCTACGACATTGGGCTGGAAAGATATAGAAATTAGAAAATCAGAGTTTGTGGCAAAGACGTAAATCCTTTGGCCCCAGATTTATTCTAATTTAACTAATTTATTTTCCCTACTACATCTGAGTAATATTACACCTGAATAAATTTATATATATCTAGTCATTAATTTAATTTAAATCCCAAAATTCACCTAATACTGTATACTGTATAGTAAATGATAATAAAAGTGATTGTTCCCAATTTTACCTAAATCTTTAACATCTGAAATCCAGTCCTTGATTATAAAGATGAGCATCGCCGCGGAGAAGACGGAGAATATATAATACCAAGCCTTGATGCTCCCGTCCTCGGACCTCAAGGAGTCTCCTCCGAAGGTCTCGAACACGTACCAGGTCAGGATAGTCACGAACAGAAGGTAGAATCTGAGAACAATTTATTAAAAGGGATTGTTAACGTAATTTAGATTGTTCCTTCATTAGTAAAGTGACATGTGCGATTCACATGGGTGAAATTTTTCAACAATTCTCATATAAATGTGCAAGTAATTTGAATGGAGAAATTGCATTAAAAAATGTAATTTTACAAGAGAGAAAGATGGATATCTCATTGATTCGTGATCAGACACAGGTAAAAATTGAAGCTCATTTAACATTACGTCTCCCAGCCACTTAAAAGAACTGATTACTGCCTCAAATCCTATTTTATGGTCTAATCTTTGCAATCAGATGTTATAAACCTTTGTTATTATTTGACAGAATTCAAAATTTGAAATCTTAAGTCTTCAAATTACAAAATCAGGCTGCCAAGTTATAAAAGTTAGAGAATACCATGGTTTCTATGGTCTCAAGTCTCTGGTATGGATTAAAGGATCTAAAAATAAACGCACAAAAAACATTTCATACTGGAATAGGACTGAACTTCTGCTAATGGATGATTTTTATAATTTCCAACACTTTTAAAATTTTTTAGAATATAATTCGTTTAATGCGTCAAAAAACTGATTTTTTTAAAGATTGTTATAAAGAAAAATAGGAAAATATTTTCTTTGAATCTGAATGAACTTATTAAAAGGAGTAGTTTCCGTGTAGTTTGTTAAATTAATGTTCTATGTATTATACCGCCCTCAGTCCATGCTTTAACATAATAACTTCCAAACTTTACCCACCCGTCTTAACCTTAACTATTCAACCTTCTATATATTTTACGGAGCAATTTGTTTGTAGGTCCGATCATAACTCAGGAACCTCTTGACCAATTTGATTAAGAAACTCGTTAAAAGGAATGTTTTTTAAAGATATAGGCTGAGTGAATTAACTTTTACAGCGTAGTTTTAGTTTCCAGACAAAGCTTGGTTTCCATATTATAAATTACACTAGCTTGGGAACCTCAACAAAGCCTTGCCTGAATACTAAACTTTTTCTGTGAAAGTCATCTCACTTAGCTTATAATTTATAAGCTAAGCAAAGAACATTCCCGTGGTTAAACCTAGTTCTTCAATCAAAATTTGAGGCCAATCGGTCAAGGGGTTCATGAGTTATGATCGGATATCCAAACAAACAAATATCTAAGAAAGAAAAATAAACAGGAACATTTTTGTACCGGGATAGTTGCATAGATAGAACTCTGTATCTTTGGCACAAACTATTAAATGAAGGGTTTATGGTACAAAAGTTTCGCTCTCAGGATAAATTTTTTAAAAATCAATTAAGATTGGACTCGAAGGAGTCCATGACACTTTATACTTCTAAAAACAGTTTTGACGAGCAACGTATCAACGTATTAACGTATCAACGTATCAACGTATCAACGTATCAACGTATCAACGTATCAACGTATCAACGTATCAACGTATCAACGTATCAACGTATCAACGTATCAACGTATCAACGTATTAACGTATCAACGTATCAACGTATCTACGTATCAACGTATCAACGTATTAACGTATTAACGTATCAACGTATCAACGTGTCAACGTGTCAACGTACCAACGTATCAACGTATCAAAGTAACAAAACAATGGGTAGAAGGAGAACGGGGGGATTCTGACCTGAGGTTTCTGTTGAAGTATCTCCTGATCCTATTCCACTTACACCAGAGGAAACTGGTGATGACAGGGTGCTTCAGGAGGTGTCTATGCTCTTTGGTCTGACCCATGTACCATAAACTCTCTGTCTCCGGTAGGACGTATCTCTTCTGAATATCCCTGTCGGAGATCTTATGATTCTCCTCGTCATCGGAGTAAGGTCCCAAAACCTCCGTTGGTAAATTCTCCAATGGAGGAGCTAGGAAGTTGTATTTGAAAACCAGCTCGAAATCTTCATGATTCACGTCGTTTGTCGACTGAAGACAGTATTCATTCAAGAATGCCTCCATGGTCTCTGGATCTATTTTCTGTATAGGTATCTCTCCCCATCTATTCTTTATACCAATGTTAGCTCCTCGTTCTAACAAACTTCGTACTATATTCTGATCCCACTTTTGCGTAGCGTAGTGTAAAGCTGTGTTTCCAAATATATCTTTTTTATTGATAATTCGATCAATTTGATCTTTCAGATCAGGATCGTTTACAGAGAGAAGAAGATCAAGACATCCTTGATAATCTCCGTTCTCAAAATGTTCATCTTTTATGAGAACTCTGTGAAGAATTGTTTCGTCTGTTTGTTTCTTTAGGACGGAGAAATCCGCGTTGTATTTGCTGAGAACCTGGAGAACTTGAAGATGTCCTCTACCCCCAGCCAGAAGGACGGGAGCAGAGTAGGACTCAGGAGGACAATAGTTTGGATCTAGTCCTTCCTCCAGCAGTGCTTCAACAAACTCATCCAGTCCGTTGACACAACATTTTTGGAGAAGAGATATTCCCCCAGTCTTTATGCTACTTAAAGTCTTCATATCAAACTGTAAGAGAAGGCTCTTGAAGGTTTGTAGATCAGCTTGGTTAGGTTTAGACTGTGCTCCAGCTTTATCCACTAGACCTAGTAGTATCTGGGTAGTATTGGAGCTATTCTCCCGTTCTAGGGGAGCTCGGTTTAATTTTACTCTGGATATATCTAGATCCGGCATCTTTTCCGAGATCAGATCTTGGATACATTTACCGAAACATATATCCTGTAATCACAATGGGTTGTATTTGGAACTGAAGATACTGATTGAGAATATTAATAAGTTAATTTTTAGTTTTTAAACCTAATTCTAATTTTGGTTACTACGTAATTTTTGAAAATATTTAAATGCTGATTTAGATGATTGTAGATTAAAGATAAATATAAGAACTGCAAAAGTTTTCTGAAAAAATGACATGAATAAGATACAAATGAAATTGGTTGAGAAGCTGTCTGCCTCTGTAGATTGTTAAGGAAAGAACTTGATCAGCATTACTTAATTTGTATCTCTCCAGTAACTATGTATATAATGAAGTAAGGAGTAATGAAGGTGAGTAATCAGTTCCTATTTACAAAGAATTTCCAAGAATTAAAGGGAATGTTCGCGAAAAATAAAAGGATAAAGGAAAAATTAGTAACTATTTCTGATGTCTCTGTAAAGATAATTTGATAAACCAATCCTCTACTCCCTCTACCGACCATTTTTTTAAAAAATCAGGATGCCTAGCTTTGCACCACTCTCGGAGAGTTGATGGGGCCCATCATGCTAATTTTAAAGTTAGGTCCTTGTCCCAGCAAGCTCTGACTTTCGATCCCTATTTGTGTAAATAAACATTCATTTTTTGCTTTTTCTCCTTTATACTTATTTGTCGGTGTATGCTTTTGAAATAAAAAGGTTTAACATAAAATTTCAAGTTTCAAGTTTGTTAAGATTGATTCATAATTTGATCATATATTCAGTGAACACTCCCTATAAATTAATTTCTAAAGGAACCCATCCCTGAAGGTTTGCTCCTTGCTCTAGGAGCATTTCAACCAGTTGGGGAGATTTATTCAATACAGCCAGGTAGAGCGGAGTTTGCCCACCCTTCTTATCTTTAGGGTTAACCCGTACTCCGGGCACCTGGAGCAGATAATCAACCAGATCAACATCATTCCGTTCCACTGCTACATGCAGTGCAGTCCGTCCAACCTTGTTCACTGCGTTCACGTCTCCTCTGTTAGTTTTACACCCGGAGTTAAGTAAGAGTTCGATACATTTTCTCTCTCCAACTAAAAATACAATTTTGTTTTTATTTCTCTGTTATAAATTAATTTTCTTTTTCAATTAGATTTGGCGGGAAAATAAACTTGTTTACGTGATCTGGTTGCAAATATTTATCTTAAAAACCACTGTTTGAAACACAGTTTAGTTTTAGAACAAAAAGAAGGAAAATATAATATTTTGTAAACTGCAGAATGGACCACTATCAAGCTGTTCATAAACCTCAAAGGACCAATAGATTCAACCTGATCATACAAATTCTCATCAATTTTTAGGGCAGGGGGGTTGACTTTGAAGTGTTGCATGCAACACCTTGGGCTTTGATTTCACCGCTCTAACTCACTTATTCTTTCCTGTAGCTTTTTACATGAACATTTTGGCACTGTAAAGCACTTGTTGTAAGCTTTGGTTTTTAGAAGTACTTGGCAAATTTTTGCTTGAGATTTCGAGACCTTTAAATCGCAGTGAGAACAGACTTCAGAGACGACTGTACGGAATGTATTCAATCAATTTTTATTTCTATAACTGGTCCCATCTGTTAACTTGTTTCTTTTTTGGTAAATTCTTTAACTGCCATTGAAAAAATAATATTCAAGGCCGACGATCAAATTCAACCTTTAGATCGTGATATTTAAAGAGTTTAAGGTCATCATTAAAGTCTCATCCTTTGTGGGTCACCTTCTAGGTTATCAATGAATATGCACTGCAGGCAGTCTCTCGGCTGTTTAGTGTTTATAGTTAAACAGTTAAAGTGTTTATATAAAGAAGTTACGATGTTGCAAAGTCATACCAGTAATTATACATGAATTTTTATCTTATGTATAGGTTGAAGGAGTGGAAGGAGGGAGGGGTGGGTGATCTCAGGGTTTTGGAGTTGCTCCCAGGGTTTTGGAGTTGCTCCCAGGGTTTTGGAGTCGCTCCCAGGATTTTGGAGTTGCTCCCAAGGTTTTGGAGTAAAAGGTGAAAATTTATCCGACCTTTTATGAAAAGTTCTATAAAAAGGGAACTTTAAAACCGAATCTTTTTGCAGGGGAAAAAATTGCAAATTTCAGTCCAAGTAGCCTGTGGCGATCACATAGTTTTAATTATCCAAACAGATGACATTTGTTACAGCTTATACATTAAACATTATTGGTAAATGTAAAAGAAAATCCTTTTTTAGCTAGATACATAAATATTAGACCAGCTTAAATGAAACCTTTACGTTTCTAGCTAAAAAAGATTTTTTTGTTTACATTTACCAATAATGTTTAATGTATAAGCTAAAACAAATGTCATCAGTTTGGCTAATTTAATTTTCACATTTTACTCCAAAACCCTGGGAGCAAATCCAAAATCCTGGGAGCTCTCCAAAACCCTGAGAGCTGCCTCCCCTCCCTCGTTAAAGTTCTCTATATGTTTTTGAACATTTATAAATTTTTGGTAGATCATACTTATTCTAGTATTTATAAAATCATTTTGGAACATAAAGATTATTTTGAGCCGATTTTGCGACGTCTGAGTTCTATCTTATTATTTTGATAATTTTTAAACATCAATATTGTTTCGAGATATAAATAAGAATCCCGTTTGAATATTAATATTAACCTCTAGCTGCTACATGAATAGGATAGTTGGCTAGCTGGTGATTATAAAGGTTGGCTTGTGCTCCAGCAGCCAATAGAACCTAGAACAAAAACACATAGAATCCAACTCTGATATACATACAGTGTATAATACAACCCTGATATACATACAGTGTATAATCCAACCTTGATGTATAAACAGTGTATAATCCATCCGTGATATATATCATACATACAGTGTATAATCCAACCTTGATGTATAAACAGTGTATAATCCATCCCTGATATACATCATACATACAGTGTAGAATACAACCCTGATATATATACAGTGTATAATCCATTCCTGATATACATCATACATACAGTGTAGAATACAACCCTGATATATACACTGTATAATCCAACCCTGAAACTCTTCAAATATAACTATCCCAGGATTAGATTAAGTTTTATGCCTTCAATAGAGTCTTTAAATGGTTTATTTGATGTCTTGGCAAAGAAAGTTTCATAGTTTCAGGGAGTTATGAATATAAGGAAACAGACAATATACATTCCGTACAGTCGTCTCTCCAGTCGCATCCTTTGTGGATAACCCTGTACATACATTGTAGAATCCAACCCTGTTAAATGTACAGAAAAAAATCAAAGAAATGTGAAGAAAAGAGAGGTATGAAAAATTAATTATAAGTAGCAAAAAAGTTTCACGAAGTATGAGATATTATATTACTAAATCAACTATTATATTTTCTATTTTTAAGGGTAACTGGCATCTAAAAAAATCACAAGAAAAAATAAAACTGGAAAAGAGTTAAAAGTAAATCAATTTTGAATTATAACAAAAAAAAATTTCACAATTAAGTATATTCATACTTAGGTTATTGCATTTTTCTAATTAAATCAACAGCTGTTTATTTGTGCCTTTAGTAAAAGTATCTACACATTTTTGTTTTTGTTTTTTATTTCGGTTTCTATTTTCAAATTTATCTACACAGTTGTTTTTTAAATACAATAATTACACAGATATTTAGTTATTTCTTTTTCAAATTTATATACGAAGTTTTTTTGGTTAACTGAAAGTGTATTTTTTGATTTATCAAGTTGAACACAGTGTTTTTTGCTTTTTTAAATGTACCTACGCAGTTTTTTATATGTTTTCTCTGTTACCTGGACGAAATGATGAAGATGGTTTGATATTGCAGAGTTTAGAATATGTTTACTCTGTTACCTGGACGAAATGATGAAGATGGTTTGATATTGCATAGTTTAGAAGAGTTTCTATATGTTTACTCTGTTACCTGGACGAAATGATGAAGATGGTTTGATATAGCAGAGTTTAGAAGAGTTTCTATATGTTTACTCTGTTACCTGGACGAAATGATGAAGATGGTTTGATATTGCAGAGTTTAGAAGAGTTTCTATTTGTTTACTCTGTTACCTGGACGAAATGATGAAGATGGTTTGATATTGCAGAGGTTAGAAGAGTCTCTATATGTTTACTCTGTTACCTGGACGAAATGATGAAGATGGTTCGATATTGCAGAGTTTAGAAGAGTAACTATATGTTTACTCTGTTACCTGGACGAAATGATGAAGATGGTTTGATATTGCAGAGCTTAGAAGAGTTTCTCCATTCTCCTCCTGAATAATGAATATATCTGTTTTATTTATATCATTAAAAAAGATCTTAGTAATCAAAAATAAACCCCCCCTTATCCAAAGGTTGCAAGCTCTTCTTCAAAAATGTAAATCTATGAAAACAACTACTTGTATAAGTTAAACTCCTCCGGAGGCCGAATTTAATGAATTTGAACTGCCTACCACCGGTTCAAATCTAAATCACTGATTCAAATCCTTCCATAATCTTTAACTTTGAATCGGTGGTTCAAATTCAGCGACGTAGCTTAAATTCATTAAATTCGGGCCCTGAATAATGAATTAATCAGTTTCATAAAAAACAAAATCAAAGAAATTTATAGGATGATACCCGGCCCCCTCACTAGGTTATTGCAGGTCGCAAAACACATCACTGAATAAATTTATCACGTAAATAAATTACAGTTTATTTTTACTCAACGAAGGTACATGAAATGAAACAAATTAATGTTAGGATTTAGGACTCAACTTAGAATTTGTAAGCTAAGAACATTCCCGTGTTTCTACTGAGTTACCCAATCAAAAAGTGAGACAAATCGGTCAAAGGGGTTCATGAGTTATGATTGAACAAACATAAAACATCTATAGACACCCATACAAACAAACAGAGATTAGTATTTTGTTTTTTAAAAGATAAAATAATAAATTTCTGTCAAAAAAAAACATATATTTAATAAACAGTTTTTTCTCTGAATGTTTGGATGAATTATATATGTCTCTGCGTTCATATTTTTTTTTATTTTTCACTCAACCTCAGCGTATGAATAAATAATGGTGTATACGACAGATAAAGTAACCGATCACTTTTCACTCATTGCAAACCCAGTCTTTATTTTATCAAGAGGATGGAATAGGAAAACATTTTGGTTTCAAAGTTTTTTTATTCGCTTTGGGAAATATATGACTTGCATATTCATATCCTTAGAAAGGAAAGGAATTGATTTTTTGATTTTCAAACTATGCATTCTGTTATATCAATTAATTGAAGCTTGAAATATCAAAGTTTTACGCAATTCGGCTGCAAAGATATAGGAATTAGAAAACTTTTGAGTTTGTTGCAAAGACTCATTTCTTTTGCGCACTTGATAGATTTGAAAAAGAAATTGTCTTACATCGCAGGAATAATTGATTATGCTAAAACTTTGCACTTTGAAATTTCTATTAATACTTCTATTCAATAATGTATAGGTATAGGTAGAGGTATTGCAGATAGAATTGTCACATGAGAATTCTAAATTTAGAGAGTTTCCACGCGGAAAAATGTTTCTTTAAAAAATGCCTTTCTAGGGGCATATTTAAAAAGAAATTAGAAACTTTGTGTGCCTCGCCTTTTATATCAATCCAGTATTTAGTATTAATATACATATTTTTCATCTCTTATCAGATAAACATATAATCTATATCCAATACAAACATGATAAATGAATTTAAAGGGACTGAACACTTATTTTAAAGTGACCCTTGTACAATTAGTGTCAGATTCACAAAAATACCCAGGAAATCTGTTGAAGGATGACGGCTCTTATCCTTTATTTATGCTTGCAATAATTGATAACTTTGTTCATGCAAGTCTCATTTATTTTGAAGAAAAGTTAGTTTTTACTTTCTGAAAAAAATTCATGTTTCATTTAAATATTTTCTTTCATCGAATGTTTGGGATTGTCGATGATTTGATCAAGTCAGCTGTTATGAGCTTACACTGAACACTCCAAGTTTCTCATTGACTTGAACACGGAATATACTGCTGTCGATGATTTGAGCAAGGTTTAAAGGGTACCGTTATGAATCGGGCATGCATGGTGGTTCTCTTAAAAATACGCCTACAGATCCTTTAATATCAAAGAGAAAAAACTATTCTATTTGAAAAAGTGCAATTTTATCGAACAAAAAAAAATAGAAAATCTTTCTTTTATTATATTGCATCTCAAGAGAATTATAGAAAACCGTTACTTCTGCTCAAAATCTGAACAAATAAGATAAAATAAAGCAAAAAATTATTTTTAATTAACTTTTTAATTCATTCAGAATATATGTTTATTTTATATTATCTCAACAAATTCTTCATTGATTTAGAATATCTACAGTTTGTTTTATTTCATCCTTCTTTAACAGTTTCTAGCTATCTATAATATGAATATAATCTCTGTTTCTTTGTTTGTATGTCCGATCATAACTAATAAACCCCTGGACCGATTTGCCTTTCACCACGGGAAAGTTTAGTTCCAGGCAAAACTAGTCTTATATAAACAGAAACATATTTTGTACATACATCCTATTATATATTTCCAAAAATGAAAAGTTTCCTAGTCTTTGTGAAATGTTTATCTCATACTGTATCTGTATCTGTATCTCTAAATACAGAAAGAATGGAAAGAAATTAAAAAAAAATCATACGTCTACCCTCTTTCATGTTTCCTGAGCATTCTCTAAAACCTGACCTGAATAGGAGTATTAATCCAGTGCTCCTCAGGAAGTGGACTCGATTCACTCCCAACATCTGAAAACAGATTTTAAGTAAGAAAAGGAGATATTTATCAAAATTTAACATTCTCTGGTGCAAAAGAAGGTGAACTTAACCAAATTTGCACCTCAAATAAACTGAATTTGCATAACAAATGAACCGAATTTGCACCGCGTCCACAAATAAACCAAATTTACTCAGCACATGACCCAAATTTACATCGCAAATGAAATAATTTGCAACGTAAATGAACCAAAATGAATTAACTGTTTAACACATACGTTATTGTATAAAGATTATAGATAAATAATATCAGAATAGAATTAGACATTTATCTATAATATTGAAAAAATCGCACTTTCTAACTATCCTTTTAAGTTTACTAATGAAAACAATCCTAAAAAGTGTGTAAGAACGTGAAAGAAATACAAACGAAAATGTTTTAATCCCCATTTCTTTGTAACCTGTCAGGTAACTCCTCTTTGATTTTAATCTTAGGTTATTTGATCTACCAGACTTCCATAATTCGAAATAATAAAGGTTTGCGACATTGGTTTGCAAAGATATAGAGATTAGAAAAACAGAGGTTGTGGCAAGAACTCACTTCCTTTGACTAGTTTTTATTTGGCAATTTAGATTTCTGCTTTTTGTTACCTATGAATCGTTTGTATAACCTATTTCACATGAATATTTTAAATCCTGTAAACAATATCTTGGAAGTCTAAACTGGCTTCTTGAAATGCTTCTTTTTTAATTTATTTCTAAAGGGATGAATCTCCGTTATCAATCAAACAGTATTAACTTTTTTCTAAGTATTATATAATTAGAGCATATATACATATTAATCAGATTTATGACCTCTAGATTGGATTTTAATCTAAATTCTGTTTTGATCCATATTTCATATCCTTGAAACTATTTTGTTGGAAAAATAAATGGTTTTGATGTTGGGTGAACATCTTAATCCAAGGAAATTCACCTTGATAAGCAGCTGTATCCAATGGAATTTACCTTGATAAGCAGTTGTATCCAATGGAATTTACCTTGATAAACGGCTGAATCCATTTATCTCGATACATAGATGAACCCAATGGAATTCCTCTGACAAACAACGGAATCCAAAGTAATTCACTTTGAAAACTAGCTAAATCCAATGGAATTAACCCCGATGAACAGCTGAATCCATTGTCACCTCTGTGAACAACAGAATTCTATAAAGTTCACCTTGATTATCAGCTAAATCCAATGGAAGTCCCTTTGACAAACGACAAAAACCAAAGAATTCCCTTTGATAATCAGCTAAATCCAATGGAACAACAAAATTCGATGGAGTTCATCTTGATAAACAGCTGAATCCAATGGTATCCATAATGGCAAACAGCTGAATCCTATGAATTTCACCTGGGTAAGAAGCTGAACCAATACGTAATAGCTACATTAAAGAAATCTTTCAGAATTCAGAATAAACAGCTGAATTTAAGCGTATTAACATAATTTATCACATTTAAACAGGATTGACGTAAGAATGTTAACAATCAACTGTATATAATAATAAAAAGTTCTCACCTTCCTCTGTATTAAGAATATCCGTAAATGTCCTGAGATCTCTGGATCTAAGAGACTGCAACGCTGTGCTGCTGGGGTCACCAACACAGCTGGTAGCGCGGAGCAAAGTATAATTATCTTTCATCTCATACCCTCCTCCATCCTCAACTCCCATTTTTACTACAAACAATTAGACAAATCAACTAAAACGAATAAAGTGCACCCATGACAATGTGGAATATGAAGACGACAACATGAAACACAACAATTAAAATATACAGACAGATATCACTTAATAGTTTATTTTAAGCATGCTGGTACTTGCAGGTAGCAACATCAAATACACCATTCCACAGTACAATGGGTCCCACTGCAGAAAAAAATAATATGTTTGTCACTTTCAGATTTAATTTATGACTTTAAAAAGTCCAATGAACATGAGACACATAGTGGCGCAGCAAGAGGGGGGCAAACCGAGTTTGTCCCCCCCCCACATCAGCATATTTCTCTCCCCTCTCGCCCTCACTTGACTCCAGCATTATCATTTTTGTGGACCATCTTGCATCGAATTTTGTCAATTAAGAAAAAATACCAAAATTTGTATTTGGCGCTTTGCGCAGCATTTAATAAGGAATTTTTCGACAGAAGAAAGTCAGTCATTCTTAATTTATACTCTTAAAAAACTGTATATATGTTGTAGACATTAGTATTACAATAAATATACCATTTCAGGTTAGACAAAACCTGACGGTGCCATGACAAACTCCTGAAACACAAACTCCTGACCCAAAAATTCCTGAAAGACAAACAAAATACTCTTAATTATTGCTTTAATGTCGTCTTCATATTCCACAGTTTTGGTTTTACTGAATGTCGTCTTCATATTCCACAGTTTTTGGTTTTACTGTATCAAGCCAGAATCTTTAACAAAGTTAAATAAGATTTTGAATATCTGCGCGATATAATTCATAAATATATGTTTATTTTTATCAATGATTTCAAACGAAATTCAGAAGAAAAAAAATCCTGCAATAAGTTTAATATATTGGTTTCTGAATTGTTTATATCATTCTTGAAAAAGGTGGTCACTTAGAATTTCGTTGACATTTCCTTCGAAATCAGATTCTTTTAACCAAGAAATTTAACTTAGAATGTTTAAGGTTAGAATTTCAATCTGTAAAGAAAGGTTTTCCACCAGAATTTTAGAAACAGACGTTCTCTGTAAGAATATAGGGTGTAACTATCTACAGAAACTATAAACATCAACAAGGGTTGTTTTACACTGAGGAGAGACCTTGAATGTTTACATATAGACTCTACACACTACACAGTGGTACAGAGATCAGCTGATATTATCTACCTCCCTATCCTCTATCTACCAGTATATCTACCCATATAACTCCCTATCCTCTATCTACCCATATATCTACCTCCCTATCCTCTATCTACCAGTATATCTACCTCCCTATCCTCTATCTACCAATATATCTCCTCCCTATCCTCTATCTTACCATATAGCTACCTCTTTATGCTCTATCTACCAGTATATCTACCTCCCTATCCTCTATCTTACCATATATCTACCTCTTTATCCTCTATCTTACCATATATCTACCTCATTATCCTCTATCTTACCATATATACCTCTCTATCCTCTTTCTACCAATATATCTATCTACCTATCCTCTCTCTACCAATGTATCTACCTCCCTATCCTCTTTCTACCCATATACCTACCTATCCTCTATCTTTCCATATATCTATCTACCTATCCTTTATCTACAAATATATCTATCTCCTTATTCTCTATCTACCAATATATCTACTTCACTTTCCTTTATCTACCAATATATCTACTACACCATGTTCTATCTACCAATTATAAATATAGACTAAAATATTTACCTTCCAACCTATTCTTGATATTAACCAAATGAAATTTGAATTTACTCTAAAGCAGGGTGTCCCACGAAATATGACAGTAACAAGACGAATGGAAGGTTGAAATTTTACTTATCAAATAATTAGCATTATATGAGTCGTAAGCCTAATTTGATAAGTAAAATTCTAGAGTTAATAATAACAAAATACCCCTTTGGCATTTCCAAAATTTTGTCTACCTTTTTTTGTCCTGTTAATATGACCAGAGATATGAAGAATTTCGTTCAGATATGGTTTTATTTAATAAAATTTAAATCTGAACAAAATTTCTTTCATATCCGGTAATATTTACAGCACAAAAAAGACAGACCACATTTAGGAGATACCAGGAATAGAAGAATAATGTGGTTATTGTTTCAAGAATTATACCTGTGAAAGTAGGTTGACGACTGAATGTTTTGTGGGACACTCTGTACTTTTTTGAAGAAAAAAAACACTGTTTAAATCTGATAATTTATTCAAACATTGAACAATAATAATTTGGTATTTCCAGATAAAAAATATGTTACACAATCTTAGGTTATATACGCTATCCCTACAATTAAGAATAGGACTTAACTTCTTTAAAAATTAAGCAAAATATTTGATTTTACAACGACAGTTACAAACATTTTAGGTAATAGGATTTTTACAAGTTTAATCTAAAAAGTGGCCAAACTCTATTATCAAAGTATAACATATGCATATGTACAACGTACATACATATATATGTAAAACGTACATAAAGGCACACCATTACACAAATGCTGTTTTCTAACATCGATCGAAATTTATGAACCTAGACTCTACAGTACACATTTAAGAAGCAGGGTTATATTATTCTAAACACGTACTAGATATATTGAAAATAATTACGTCATAAATTTTCTTAAAAACTTCAAAGCAGTGATGTTCAAAATAACAGTTTATTATCAAGTATAAAAAAAAATTAGGATAAAAATGAAATTTAAAATTAAGACTTGGCTTCGTCAAAAACTTTAATTTCATTTGCAAAGTTAGTATATTAAGATTTTAAGAAACTTCAAATTCCTGATTTAACTAGAAGATATCGAAGTACTTACTTTGATCTCTTTACATTATTTACAGTCGTCGTCGTATATATCAATACAATCATGGAAACTAAGGAAAGTTATCAAATAATAGCTTCTCTTTGTCTACTTCTAAACTTGTGATTCTGTAAAGGCTTGTTAACGATCAAACCTTGATTTTAAAAATCATTGTATTGATATAAACGCCTACCATTCTATGTAATTGATAAATGTATAAGAAAAGGTATATATGTTAAATATGCAGGATATGTGTTTAGTCACAGATAGTTTGTGGCACATTTTCTTGAAAACATATTCAAGGTCGATAAATATTTTTAATAATTTTGCACAACATATTTTAAAAAGTACTTCTCCAATTCAGTCTTATAAGAACCCAAAAGAAAACATGAGAAAAAATAACAAATAATTTATACAAAACAAAATATTTTGAAAAGATTAATCGTCCTTCTTTTCGTCATTTTCGTCTTCGTCCTCGCTTGGTTCAGAATCTGATCTTTTGTCGTCCACGCCTCCTTTCGTCATTGCCTTGTGAATTGCCTAAAAATAATAAAATTGTAAAATAAATAGTGCTTCTATAAACGCGTAACTGAAAATTTAATGTTTAGCTTTAAAATAATCCAAAAAATACAATGGTGTTTAACCAAGGAAAAATGCTTCAAAGTCGGCCCGGTATCAAAAACAGTGTAGCCTCCCAATGATCTGAACAGTCAAACATTTCGTAAAATCCTATTCGTACCAACTTTAATCCAACTGTTTGGGGAGGGTTTTTTTCCAAAAGGCTTTTCATGATTTATTTTCAGAGTTCTATTCAATAAACAGATGATTTTAAAGAAATTAAGTTTGTCAAAAACTGATTTTCTAATTCTTATATCTTTGCAAACCAAAGTCGTAGTCTTTCAAACTATATATTCTGTTTGATCAAGAAGTCTTCGCTAGAATTATCACCATGTAGGAAAAAGAAAATTTGAGTTTGTGGGAAAAAAACCACAATTCCTTCAAAAGTTTAATAAATAATTATCTAATTATCATTAATATTTAATAAACTCAGCAAGCAAGCTTTTTTGTAGTTTTACAATATCTACATAGATATTTTTAATTCTTTGATATTCCATTAAAATGAAATAAAATACAATTGGAAAGCTACATCTTGGATATCTCATTCAATCTTAAAGGATCTATAAATACCATTGTGAATAGGAAATTATGTAAAATGTTTTAAAATACCTTGATGAGGAAATATGTCCAGAGAAGATGAAGAACTTGCAGAGTTCCCAGTAAACCATTAAATATATAGTATGCAGGAAACATCTAGATTATCATTAAATATATAGTAGGCAGGAAACATCTAGATTATCATTATCATTATTATTGTTATTATGATGATCTTTATATTGTTTAGATATTATATTGATATCATTTCTATTATTATTTATGGTATTATTATTATGATAGATAGATAGATAGATAGATAAATAGATAGATAGTTAGTTAAATATTTAAATAGATAGATAAATATGTAGATATATCGAGAAATGTAAAGATGGATAGATTAATATATAGATATAGATAGATAAATATTTAGATAGATAGATATATAAATGGATAGAAAAATATATAGATACATAGATTAATAAATAGAAAGATAGATTAATATATAAATAGATAGATCAATAGATGAGATGTAATAGATATATAGATGAGATATGATAGATATATATATGAGATTGGATAGATATATAGATGAGATTGGATAGATATATAGATAGATACCACACCTAGCTTGCTAGAGATAAATATAAACCACTACTAGCATAGAAAGACAGATAGACATTCAAATAGATAGATATATATGTACCACACGTACCTGGATATATAGATAGATGACTACTTGAGTTTACCTGGTAACTATCCAAGTATAGATAGATAGATAGATGACTACTTGAGTTTACCTGGTAACTATCCAAGTATATATATATATAGATGACTACTAAAGTTTACCTGGTAACTATCCAAGTATATATATACTATCCAAGTATATATATAGATGACTACTTAAGTTTACCTGGTAACTATCCAAGTATATATAGATAGATAGATGACTACTAAAGTTTACCTGGTAACTATCCAAGTATAGATAGATAGATAGATGACTACTAAAGTTTACCTGGTAACTATCCAAGTAACTGAGAACAAGACGAACACAGCGTCACACAATTTCTAAAATAAAAGGAATTTATCAACATAACTTTAAACTTTAAGAATGACTTTAAGAATAACTTTAAGAATAACTTTAAGAATAACTTTAAGAATAACCACGTCTGACTTTATATATTTTTTTCTTCTCAACATTACAAACTCCAGCTACGGGTTTCTAAAAAGCGTATTTTCGTGCTGTAAAAAATGATAAAACTCGAAAACTTATTAATTCAAGAATCAAATTAAAGAACTGCTGATCGAATTAGTTAAAAGATGAACTCTCTAATTTGTTTAAATATTTTCGAGAATCAAAAAGAAACTGTTGATGAATTAGTTTAAAGATGAACTCTCTAATTTGTTTAAATATTATCAAGAATAAAATAAGAAACTGCTGATGAATTAGTTTAAAATTGTACCATCTAATTTGTTTAAATATTATCAAGGAAACTGCTGCTGAATTAGTTTAAAATTGTACCATCTAATTTGTTTAAATATTATCAAGAATCAAATTAGAAACTGCTGATGAATTAGTTTAAAATTGTACCATCTAATTTGTTTAAATATTATCAAGAATCAAATTAGAAACTGCTGATGAATTAGTTTAAAATTGAAACTTCAATTATTTTTAAATATATTAGCTTAGATTAGTCGCACTGCAAGTTTACATATTTAAATAAAAGACTAAATTCAAAATAAAATAAAACTATAACTACAAGAAAAAGGCAAAGAGTGTTCGTTAAATCTCTTTTATTCAAAACTATATTTTATGCGTTGTATGAAATGAAAAAGAGAACAAAAACGAAAAAGGAGAAATGCCAAAAGATCAATAAAAAGTGGAAAAGTACAATGCATATTTTTCATTTTTATTATTTAAAATTCGGTGATGGTGATGGACCAAACCTCTGTAGAGTAAAAAAAGTAGATGTTAGTTCCACATTTATTGAAAATATATTTCGGTCTGGGTTGACCCTTGTCAGTTCTTACAATATAATAACCATCAAAATCGATAAAAAAACCACAAGAAAATAAACAAACAAAAAAGATTATTTTGAAAAAAAATTGGGCTCTCAAATGGACAAAAGGGAAACGAACTCAGATTATGAGATGGAAAAAAGATAATTTGCAAATATTCACTTTATAAAAAATGTTCTGAGACAATTATTTTTCCTTGAGATTGTTTCTGTCACAAAGATTAAAAACAAACTGTTTATACGTATGCGTAAAAAGTGGTGGTGAGGGTTGATCTAATTAACGAACTTTTACGTAAATCGGGGGGGAGGGGGGAGGGGGGAGGGAGGGGGGCTTGTTTAAGGAGGGTTATTTAAACCTTTTAAAGAATTGGACATAAACAATACTCTTCTTTTTTTAAATACTGAATTACAGTTTACAATTAAATAAAAACTACTTTTTCTGTTCATTCCTCTGAGATTTAAAATTCGGTGATGGAGATGGACCAAACCTCTGTAGAGTAAAAAGTAGATGTTAGTTCCTCATTTATTGAAAATATATTTCGGTCCGGGTTTACCCTCGTCATTTCTTGAAATTGTTTCCTCACAAAGATTAAAGTTCAGTCATAAAATCTTTAATGTATTTAGATTCTCGTACTTCAAGTAAACTTCTCCCAAGTTCCCAAACTTTTAGATGGTAGAGTTCATTTCCAGGAAGGTTAAAATGTTCTCCTGTAGGCTGGATTGTACGGAGATGTAACCAATATGTTCTCTCACTCTTTCATTTAAAGATCTTGTTGTCTGTAGTTTACTGCACACATTTAATACAGTAAACTACACTTCTGGTCTTACAGTCGAAAGTTCCATTAATCTCAATCTTCTCAGTGGTATTAGAGGATTTTATAACTGTTCCAGGCTCTATACAGGGACAAGTTGGGCAATTTAAACCACAAGGTTTCATACCAGGTATTAGCATATCTAATTAGGTTTTCGAAAATCTTATTTACACCAAGATAAACCAGATAAAGGATAAGACCTTGAAAGGTATGAATTATGAAGTACAAGAGAGAGAAACATTCAATTATTGCAAGTGATGGTTACATGTGTACACTGTAAGCCATTTTGTTCGTCGCCTCGTACATCCTGCGCAACACGCGCAACTGCCCCGTCATTAAAAACTTTTATAGTGAAGACGACAAAAAAATCTATTATATTTACCGTATATTTGATGTATTTGCAAAGTTTAGCAAGCTCTAGTAGATGGTCTGCACAATCATGAACTATCAGAACCAGAGTTCCAATTCTAGAATAAGAATACAGGATTAGGGAACTATCAGAACCAGAGTTCAAATTCTAGAAGAAGAATACTGGATTAAGGAACTTTAAAAACCAGAGTTCAAATTCTAGAAGAAGAATAACGGATTAAGGAACTATGAAAACCACAGTTCTAATTCCAGAAGAAGAACACAAGATTAAGAAACTATAAAAACCAGAGTTTCAATTCTAGAATAAGAATACAGGATTAAGGAACTATAAAAAAAAAAGAGTTCTAATTCTAGAATAAGAATACAGGATTAAGGAACTATAAAAACCAGAGTACTAATTCTAGAATAAGAATACAGGATTAAGGAACTATAAAAACAAGAGTTCTAATTCTAGAATAAGAATACAGGATTAAGGAACTATGAAAACCAGAGTTCTAATTCTAGAATAAGAATACAGGATTAACTAATTCTAGAATAAGAATACAGGATTAAGGAACTATAAAAACAAGAGTTCTAATTCTAGAATAAGAATACAGGATTAAGGAACTGTAAAAACCAGAGTTCTAATTCTAGAATAAGAATACAGGATTAAGGAACTATTAAACTACAGTTCCAGTTAAGAATGGAAAATGAGGTATACAGACGAGTCCGTATTCTATTATATGTATAATGTATAAGTATAAAAGATCAAATTAGACTTGAACTCCAAATCTAAAACTGAACTAACGGACTTTTAAGAAGATTAGAGCAATTCACAATAATATAATTTTGAAAATATTTGGACGAGTCTTTAGAAGAGAAATTATGATTATAATGTTTCAATTAAATAATGATGTATATAGAATAATACATTTAAAATTATAAATATATGAATATATGCAAAGGATTCGCAATCCAAGCATATCATCATTATAGCTCTAAGCCTTGAAGCCCAAATAATACTCAAAGAACCTTTTTTTTCTGTATTCAAATTTTAATATGAGCATTATACTAGCTTGGGGCCCAGTTCTGCCTAGAGTTTTCCCGATCAAGTTCCCCCATCAAAACTTAGGCAAATCGGTCAAAGGATTCCAGAGTTATGATCGGACATCCAAAAACAGAAAGACCGAGATTACTTCTTTATCCAGGTAACTTAAAGTTACTCCAGCCGTTTACCCGCAATTGAACGATTTTTCCGGGAAACTAAATTTTTGCTCTTGAAGTCGACCCACTAAATTTAGAATCTCATAACCAAGCTAAGAACATTCCCGTGAATCTCCCGAGTTCCCCAATCAAAAATTGAAGCAAATCGGTCAAGGGGATCCTGAGTTATGTCCGGATAAACAGACAAACCGAGATTACATATAATATATATATATTAACCTGGTAAAGTGTGCAGTCCATGAAAACCGAGATTACATATAATATATATATATATTAACCTGGTAAAGTGTGCAGTCCATGAAAACATCATGAGTGCAATGGTTGTGTTGTGATGGATAAACATTTCCCAGAAGTCCTGAAACAAGTTTTATCATTTAAAAATACATTTTTCAGCAGAAGATGGTAAGTTGATTTAATTGATTCGCAGGAATGGGAGGTCGGCACGGGCAGCCGTAGTACATTTGAATTTCCGAGCCGGGTCAACCTATCCCCTCCCAGTTTGTACTGTACCTAACTCAATGGACAGGACTAGCCGGTGCAACAACGTTGACGCGGTCAGATTTTATGCGTCATATAGGTTGAATTTACTTTTACTAAAGGGGCAGAGGTGCGTGGCGGGGGGTTGTTACATTTTTGTATACATTTTTCATAAAACTACTTTTTAGAATACTTGAATTCACGATTAATTATTACTTGATTGATGGATTGAATGATTAATGAACTAGCTGACTGATTGACTGATTAATTAATTTATTACCTTCCGCTTGACATCAAAGAACTGTGATATTGATAAGGACCAGTAGAAGGATAATTCAACCATGTAGTAGAGCCATACATCGGAGTCAACCTGTACATTACAAGTGAATGCATGTACAGTAAACCATGTACTAAAACCATATAGCAGAGTCAACATTGTACATTACTAGTTATTCACTGTTGTACTCTCAAGTGTATGCGTGTTGTGTATGTACAATGTACATTATATAAGTAAAAGAAAAATTGCAGTGTAATATAGATATATAAATATACAGACTTATTAACCCATATCTTTTAAATTTAGTACATAAACACGAATATATGTAATAATGTAATGTGTGCTGCAGTGTTCACACTCAAAATTACAACACATAAAAATCGCTTATTTAGCATTAAAAATTAAAAAAGTGTCAAAAATCGCTTATATTCGATAAAAAATCGCTAATTCGGCAGCCGTCCAATTCTTTTGCTGCCAAATAAGAGAATTTTTTTGTTTCGTAATTTAGAGTGTATGAAAAGTGCATACAAGTTAACATTTCTTAGCTTACTATTAATTATCACAGAAAACTAAAGTTTGCATGTGTTTCTGAAGAATTTCATTTATTATAAAACAGAAATTATTCATTTAACTTCAATTTTGAAGATAAAAAAACTAGCGGAGATACGAGGTTACACAGTTAAAAGGAATGTGTTTTTCTTAATGAATAGTAAATACATGTTATAACTACTTTCATATAAGCCAAATAGATTATCAAGTACAATAGGTGGCAACAGAGAAATGAACCAATTATACACGACGTCATAAGTGTCAAATATAACAAGAAAAACGAAATTTTCTCCCATTAGTTGACATGTTTTTCAAGATTAAATAAAAAAGTGTAAAAACAGAAAATAAAGAACACATTTAATTGCACTTATTTTACTACAAGATAAGCACTTTATTCTAAAACTATTACTATTATTAACAATTTTGTCGGACACAAAAACTGAATTGAAAATTGTGACGCCAGAATACAGCTGTACTGAGAGTGTACAAATTCTACGTTGCCATCTATTGTACTAGAATCTATTTGATATAAGCTAGATAACGTTCAAGTAAATCATAAAACTTTTTAGTTATTTATCCAGTAAAAGTTTTCGCACTCATGTTTATCCACCTTCATATCTGTAAAGGAAAAGTTTACAATTTTAAATCTCATCTTTAGTTTAAGATAATATATCTTGAAAATGTCTTCTTTAAAGGAACAGACCGGCTATGTAAGGTAGTTAAACTGAGTATGCAGTGTTGTGGACAAATTCTTTAGGATTCATTTGAGAAATATAAAACTTTTTAAAGATCTGTAAATCCTGAGTTTGAGCGTTCAAAATCGTACTTTTGGGTGGATACGTTCACAAAATCGTTTTTTTTAATCATTAAGTAACGACTACAAAAAATATAAACAAAATTCTACAGTTAGTTGTTTAGGAACAGGTTAAGAAAATAAAAATTAACTCCATCGAAAATAAGTAATCTTATTCAATTATTAGTTTCTATAATCTCTCTTTCATCACAAAGATTTTCTGCAGATTTTCTGGAATATTTATTAAAAAGACGACATTTGAAGAATTTAAAGAAATATGCGAACAAATTCATAGAAAATAAGAAATTAAATATAATGATAAAAAAGTAAATAACTAATTCTAACTTCGATTGATTGACAAACTTCTTTCGAGAAATATGTTCTTCAACATCTAATTAGTTTACTACAGAATTTTTATTATATTTTTCGTCGTCGTTATTTAATAATTTCAAAAAACCGATTCTGAAAATATACCCAACCAAATTCATGATTTTGAACGTCGACTTTGCACTCAAACTCAGTAATCATACATCGTGGAAACGTTTTATATGTCTCAAATGAAACCTAAAGAATTCGTCCACAACACAGCATACTCAGTTTAACTACCTTATATAGCCGGTCTGTCCCTTTAAAACTACTATGACTGTGAGTATGAAAGCAAGTTTATTATTTCTATACTCGAAAAATGGCGTTTTTACGCATAATTTATTTATAATTTACATTGGTAAATACTTCAATTGTACGTATAATTGAATAGTTTTGAAATGAATGAAAGCTAGAAAACCAGAAACATTTTATAGAATGTATTGGCACTAAGGACTATAATCTACCAATCCACCAATCCTAGTATTTATTCTGGATTAATAATTCAAAAATCACATTTTTAAACTTGTGCTTTCTAAAAAATGATCTGAAAATAAAAATTATTCCTTTTCATACAAATTTCGAAATTCTTCATGAGAAAATAAATTGTGATCTATGTCTACTTTCTACGTGGTTTTCTAGTGAACTATGTTTAGGTGCTCTTCCTGAAACTTAAGAAAGTACTGACAAACGAAACCGGTTTTATTAACCTGGTTTCCGAATGTTTTCCTATCTTAAGTTACCAGCTCCGATCTACCTTATATTATCAACTAACAAGGATATCCCTGTAATAATTCAGTTTAATTGGAACTGACTTTAATACTACACGAATAATATGCCAATTTCAAACGGTTCAAATTCATAGGAATTGAGTCTTTGCCACAAACACTGGTTTTCTAATCCCTATATCTTTGCAATCCGTTGTCGGAGACCTTAGATATTCTAAACTATGAATTCTGTTAGAGCAAATAATCTAAGATGGAAAGTTGCAATTGATATAGGGGGATTGGAGTTTTCTAGGAATACGATAAGGATGACATAATTAATTTCTACTTATCACATAGTTCATTCAACCCCTTCCCATTATTCATGTTAAAAAAGATTAAAAACTCGTAAAAAATCTTTATACATTTCATTTGTGAACTAAAATGACTAAATTTTTTATGAAAGCTGGATTAAAAGGAAAATATTGGATATTTTACAGTGCAGTGGCAGCCGGGACAGTAAAATTAGAACCTAAATATTTATTTTATTTGACCGGCTCCAACTATGTGAAAGAGCCTGTGTGAAAGTTAATAATAATATTCCTACACTCATATAAACAACTTATTTCATTTATTCTCCGCAAATTTTTACAACTTCAATCCTCATTCATCAATTAGGATCCGGATCCGATGGATCCGTAAGATTTTGACTTCCTGGATCCGGATCCACAAAAATATGCGGATCCACGGATTCGGATCCAAGAGGCAAAAAAAGAGAGATTATAAAAATTTTCTGATTCCTAATTGGTTCATCAAGTTTTAGCATAAAAATAAGCGAAAAAAAAAGACAAAAAGTTTGAAGTTTCTCATTTGTTAAAAAAATTCAGTAAATCTTAAAGAAATGACGTGGATCCGGATCCATTTTTTTACAGTGCGGATCCAGGATCCGGATCCGCATCAAAATTAAATGGATCCTAAGCACTGAATTTACATATCATTAAAGTCCGCGAAAAGCTTGTAGAATTCCTGATGTAAATGGGGAGTTTGAAACAAGATATCAAAAATTGAAAATGACTCTGAAATATGAATATTGTATAATCTAACCTGATGATATGGATAATCGTACCAGCAGTAGCGAATATTCCAAAACCAGGGCTTATTCCATAGACATAGGAATCCATAGACTAGGATACCAGTATAGAATATCCACCTAAACATAGACAAGGATACCAGTGTAGAATATCCACCTAAACATAGACAAGGATACCAGTATAGAATATCCATCTAAACATAGACAAGGATACCAGTATAGAATATCCACCTAAACATAGACAAGGATACCAGTATTTAATATCCACCTAAACATAGACAAGGATACTAGTATAGAATTAATCTTGGTTTTATCAATCTATTTTCCTGTATTTTATGTGTTTGGCAATATATTTATTCCTTTTATCTTGGTTTACATATATTCATTAATTTCTTGGCAGAAGCTTTTTAGTTTGGGCTGTTTGGTAATTAAATCATTAGTCTAATTAATCCGCTTGAGTTCATTTAGTATATTATGTATATGTAAACTATTTTTTGCTTTCTTTGACTAAATTTGTTGTTTGAAGAGTTCAAAGATAATTTTTAAAATTAAAAACAAGATAATCTTGTTTTTTAACTCCTCTACTTTACAAAGTCATTCAATCAATAACTGTTCACTTACAGGGGTCAGCAATTATGTTATTGCAATGAAGACGACTTTTTTATTAACAATGCTTTAATGCTTACCAAGCATTTTTTAAATCACAAGCTTAGAAGTAAACAAAGCGAAGCTTTTAATTGACAACTTCTCTTAATTTACATGTTATGTTTCTCTGCTGTTTAAAAGTTGGGTAGAAATCAAAATTAAAATATGTACGACGACTGTACAAACAAATACAAATTTTATTTAGAAACGAGGAAAATAATGTTTTTTAATGTAAGATTACCTCCACCCCGTCTCACAGAATTTCTGTAATGTATTTGGTAATTCAGCTTGTCTTCTCTGCCGTAACCATCTTTCAACCTATGATGAAAATTCATAAATGAGTACAGTACACAGCAGTTCAGCTAACTTTATTACTATTAATTCTATTAAAGGGACTGTAAGCGTAATTTTTAAGCGGCCCTCTATGCAAAGATGGCAATTTCAGATTTACAACGGAACCCTTCACAGCTTTGACTTGACTTATTTTTTACAACTTTTGAACTTGAACCTTGAACTTTTCAAAACTGATGCTGAGGTATTTTGAATTCTGTTTTATCAAATAGTCTAAGTTTTATTCATAAGATCCTAAAGATATAGGGATTAGGTTGTTAAAGTTTGTGGATATCGATCAATTCTTTACCAAAGGGCATTATTTTTGTGCATATATTAAAATCCTCCCCTCTACCTTTCATAAGATGGTTTCTAGCATACAGATATCAGAAGTCTTTTGTTTCTTAATCATTAGTCCTTGGGATACATAGATAAATCAAGAGAATAGATGGAAACTCGGGAAATAACAGACAAACATACCAAACATTAGTTAAACATAATACATAACATGAATTTGTCTTCACCCTGTACTAGACTTATTTCATCCTGCACTTTAAGTATATAAAATAATGTTTCTTCCTGTATTAGGAACATGAACTATTTTCTTCAACCCGGTTTACTTTTATGGATATAAGTATTTCCAATTCACCCTGCTATATGGTATTAAATGATGGGTTCACCCTGTATTGTGTTTTAAAGTATTAGTTTCACTCTGTATTATGGATAAAATTAGTTTTTGCAACCTGTAGTATGGATAAAAATAACTGTCTTCACCCTGTATTATGATTTACCATTCGGTGATGGTGATGGACCAAACCTCTGTAGAGTGAGATGTGTTTTATTCTAAACTATTTGTTCTCCTTGTATTGAAGTGTACTAGATCCACCATATTTATTGATCTTTTTTGAAATCTGATCTTTCATATAATCTCGTAACCTCATGCAGATTCCTTAGTTACAAAAACATACATCTAGATGATTTGCTAGATATATCTAGATATATAGACATGTATATCACGTCAAACCTGATGGGGAACCATTTTGATATTTAAAACTTAGACTATTTGATCTAACAGAGTTCATAGCTTGAAAAATCTAAGGTCTACGACTTTGGGTTGCAAAGATATTAATATACAAAGATATATTGTTTGATATATAGACGTAAACATGAATATACTAGATAGCAATACAAAGAAAGATTTTTAGATATTGATAATAAAAAAGATAGATATTATGTGGAGAATGTATAATACAAATTATAAGCTTTCCTCCCAGAATAAATATTTCGGAATATTTCATCAAAGCGGAATTTATTTGTGATTTACTCCCGCCATTAGTGGAATTTTAGATATCCATATTAGATGAGTAATTACAAATGATAAAAAGTCTTTTCAGCTAAAAATAGGGGACTAGACTTGTGTCTGCTATAGTGCTGGTAACATTTAGCAACATTCTCTTTGAAAGCGAATTGTTGTGGTCGCACTTCTAAAATATCTAATTTTGTGGTCGCACTTTTAAAATATTTAATTTTGTGGTCGCACTTTTAAAATATTTAATTTTGTGGTCGCACTCACGGAAGTTACCCGCTCATCAAATCGAGAGGAAACTGACCTAAGGTTTCTAACCTAAGGTTTTTCGGCTTTCGGGGTTTCCGACCTAAAATTGTATTAGATCTTAAAATAGGATAGGCCAGGTTATATCTGGGTCGGATTCTCTAGACGTAGTTAAAATAAGGAGCCGATTAAAATCCGTAAACTAATCAATATTTCCTTAAAAACTACTCGATTATTAGGTCGGATATTCTTCCTTAGCAAGATCAAGTTTCCATTATTCCATGGTATTGTGATCAAACCCGGTATCGGAACCCTGGTTTTCTGAATGGAGTAAGACAATTTTGTAGAAATTAATGAACTGATTATAGTCAGGGGTCAATATAATTCCCAAAAAAGCTGATTTTCTCGATCCCAAAATAATTTTTTGCCCCCAATTTTGAAAAAAAAATGCCCCCAATTTTTTAAAAAAATGCCCCCAGTTAAAATTTTTTTTTCAAATTCCACTACACATTTGCCCCATTGCCCCCAATTTAAAAAAATGCCCCCAATTTTTAAAAAAAATGCCCCCAATTTTTTTTTTAATTATCATATAAAAAAAATTTGCCCCCAATTCAAGAATTTGCCCCCATTTCTTTCAAATTCGTCAATCCCAAATGGGATTGAAAAGGGAATTATATTGACCCCTGATTATAGTATAATGGTTGTTTTTGTAATTAATGTAATTCTTGCATTTAAATCCACACAAATATATAGACCTTAAGAAGGAAAGCAAGGAATTTCATTTACGATACTCTTTAAAGGAATTGAGTGTTTGTCACATAATCAAAATTTGCTAATCCCTTTATCTTTGCAACCAAATATTGTAAACCTTTGATATTTCAAACTATGAATTCTGTTAGATCAAATAATCTATGTTTGAAATATAGATAAAAGGTTTACAACTTTAGGCTCTAAAGGTATAGGGATTAGAAAATTTGAGTTTGTGGCAAAAACTTTTCAGCTGTAAGGACCAAGTAACCTTCGATATACACAACAATTCAAGCTGTCGCTGAGGAGCTTGTACGTACTGGTACAAGAAGTATGTACAGTACAATTCAAGCTGTCGCTGAGGAGCTTGTACGTACTGGTACAAGAAGTCTGTACAGTACAATTCAAGCTGTCCCTGAGGAGCTTGTACGTACTGGTACAAGAAGTATGTACAGTACAATTCAAGCTGTCGCTGAGGAGCTTGTACGTACTGTTACAAGAAGTCTGTACAGAACAATGAACCGATATTTTAGGTTTAAAATTAAAGTTTAAAATTAAAGATGAAAGCTTATACATAATGGACGTTAAAAAGTTGAAAGTTCCTTTATGCAATCCTTGAACAACATGTGTATAGACAGTTACATATATAATTTTTATGTATTATAAACAATTTCATATGTTCAATGTTTACAGAGCTGAGTGCAGAAGTTATTTTAAACAATAGAACCGCGAGATTAATATTTGCTTAAACATTGCATTTCGTAAAATGGCCTCATCCTGATCTTACATTTTTATATTTTTGCAAGTTGAAGAGCCCGACGTTGTCCGTGGAATTTAAAAACTCCTTTGGGAAAAAATAATTCGAATATGTCACGGTCATGTCACCCATGAGTTCCCTAAATAAATTGCAGCCAATTTGGTTCAGCCGCTTGGTCATCTATAGCTAACATATATATATATATATATATGAGCAAAGAGCTTTATTATATAGTATATAACGTTATATAAATTATGAAGCATAAAAATCAAAATTATGGAAATGTCAGTAAACCCCTAGAAATGCAAAAGGGGGGTTAAACTTAATACATAATCAATAACAACTAAAATACATATAATATATACCCTCACTCTTCAATAGCTAATCCTTATTTTTAACATATTTATTATTTACGAATTAATTTAATGATTTGTGTGCTTGCATTAAATTAGAAGCTGCATTTTTCAATTTCTTGCATTCTGTTAGTTTTAGCTACGTACAGATAGTTTAAGCTATGTACAGATAGCTTACAGATATGTACAGAAAGTTTTAGATATGTACAGATATCTTTAAGATATGTACAGATATCTTTAAGATATGTACTGATAGTTTTAGATATGTACAGAGAGTTTCAGCTATGTACAGAAAGATTCAGAAATGTACACTGTACAGCTAGTACCAGTTACGTACAAATAATATCAGCTATGTACAAAAAGGTTTAAATATGTATTTCATTTTATGTGTTTTCAGGTAGTTTTAGTTTTGTACAAATATATAAGTTATTTAAAAAGCTAGGGCTAATACTAAATGTGCAGTTAGATGCTTGTACTTACAATATCTATTATGTACAAAATAAAATTGTAAATTATACCTGTATATAGGAGAGTCCTGTTGTACCCGCGAGCTCTAAAGCTTGATCCTACAAAATTTAATTCAATTTTAAAATCTCATTATCTTCTAAACTTTAAATTCTTGAAACTTTTTTCTAATATTCTAAAGGGCATCGGATTAAAAAAAAATAATGTAGACATCGTTGATCCACTTCTGTTGTGCGCGCTGTTCATGTTAAAAATAGGTGGTTTAACTGATTATTTGTAGTTTAACTACTTCTCTCTATTTATTAAGTTTCGTCCCTGGCATAATAATATTGATATATTACTTTGCTTTAGAGAGCCCTTCGTAAAAATGTCTATTTATTAAACATCTGTATGTTATGATATTGTACCTTTGATATAGTGGAGAATGATCTGTATGCATGCTCCAATGTTTTATTTTCAGGAGGATAAACACGTTGATGGTCCTTCAAACCCAACCTTATACCTAGATAATAGTTCCTTCAAACCCAACCTTATACCTAGATAATAGATCCTTCAAACCCAACCTTATACCTAGATAATAGTTCCTGCAAACCCAACCTTATACCTAGATAATAGTTCCTTCAAACCCAACCTTATACCTAGATAATAGTTCCTGCAAACCCAACCTTATACCTAGATAATAGATCCTTCAAACCCAACCTTATACTTAGATAATAGATTTTTCAAACCCAACCTTATACCTAGATAATAGATCCTTCAAACCCAACCTTATACCTAGATGAGAGTTCCTTCAAACCCAACCTTATACTTAGATAATAGTTCCTTCAAACCCAACCTTATACCTAGATAATCGTTCCTTCAAACCCAACCTTATTTGGATATTCAGGGGCGTTTACAGAAATTTGTTCAGGGGCTAGGAG